AAGGCTGTGATGTTTTTTCAGTACCTGGCTATCTACAGCTGGATTTATAACGGGAAAGGTTTCCACTTAGTAGATGAAATACCTGTTTAAGGAAGATAGTATCCATGGTATCGTGCTGCAATCCATCCATTATCCTTTCATTTATGCACTTTTCTACAATCAAAAAACCCAAAACCCTAAAGCTGTGCAATGTTTAATCATACGATTGAAGATATTCTAAGGCCTTTACCAAAGCAAAACAAAATAGTCTATTGACCCTTGTTTGTGAAGTTATGCTTTCCTGTCTGCTCATGACTGCAACTGCTTTCACAAGCAAAGACAAATAGCACAATTTCACCATGGATTTTTAAAAAATCCACTCTTGATTGTAGACATGATGTAGTTAAATTTGAGTCAGAAATGCCTAAGAGCATATGAGAGGCTCTAGGACAAAATGTTTTGAGTGTTGTAGAGGAAGTGGTTGGTAAGGAAGTCTTCACAACTCTAGTTGAGGGGTTTGGTTTTGTTTGGTAAGTTGGAAGGATGTCGTATCTTGGAAATAACTTTCAAAGCATACTGAATATGAACCTGTACTAGCTATGAAACTGGCCGTTTAGTAGATGTTTAGTGTTAGAAAAGGGAACTAAGACAAATACAGTCACTTTCCAATCCAAACAAGTTCTCTGGAGCTTGGCATCTTAATTATACTATCTATTCGAGTGAGTGTTGGTTCCTTGTGCTCAAGAGCTTTCTGGTCTGTCAGAACATTTTTCTCAGCATAAAAGGGCTATAGGAGGGGCAGAGTGGGCTATTGGCTTCTCCCTGACAGTGCTGAAGGGGAGGGGCAATGTTTCTTTTTTTTCTTGTTTTCTTCCTTCTTTTTTTCCCCTCTTGATCATCAGCCCTCACTTGATTCTGACTGAGGGTTCCTTGTAGGGACCACAGCCCATCCTCTTTCCTCTGCCAGCATATCAGACCTGTTCACCAGATGCTTCAGCTGCCTGCTGGATGAAATCCTGGGGTCTGGGAAGCACCAAGTGAACGACAGCCCATTCTTTTCCGTAGAAAGCTCTGTCATTGAAAAAGACTCGAACTTAATGTTTGATATTCACAAGCATCTGTTAGGCTTCTGGCAGCTTGTTTGCTGTACTATTTTTCTGTGAAGATATCCTCCTACTGGTGATGACATCTGTCATCAGGAGGGGAGAGAGGGAGAGAGAAGCTGTTACAGTTCATTCTTTTACCAACTTCTGTGCAAATGCATCTTCATTCCTTCTTAAAGAAGTTTTGAATTTTACCTCCCGCAGGGAAAAACAAGTCTGTCTAACATCACCTTTGCACTCAGGGAATACCCTTCAGGAAGTAAATCCTGTCCTGCAGAAAGCTCCCCATCATAGCTCAACTGACATTTCTTAGAGAAGAAAGACAACAGGACCTGTCTGAGGCCTGCTACGAGACTCCCAAGGCAGAAACCCAAAGCTTTAGAGGCAAGGAAACAAACTGAGACAGTGGGGGGAAAAGGGGAGGTTGTGATCTCCCCTTCCCACAGATCTGTGCATGCCTGTGGTGGTTAAAGCACCCTTCTAAGAATTGAGGGTAAGGTTATATTTTGTCCTTTCCTCCAGGAGCAAGGAGATCAAATTGCTTACGATCAGGGTGGCTGTTCTAACATGCAGAGTGCATGTTAGGTTTTGTGTGGATAGATGTGCTTTGAGGTCCCGACTGGAACACTAATTTTGTGTAGCCTGCTAAGGATGATTAGTAAGAGGCTGGTTTGCCCTGTTAAGATCTAAAATGGTTCTGCAAAAGTGCACAAGTAGATGATTAAGTGGCTTTGGGTCCCTCTCACTCAGGTAGCCAGTGCACAGCAGCAGTGAGGAGCTCTGAATGCACACATTTAGCTCACAAGTGGAACAGGGATCTGGGACCTGGGACTGCAATACAATTCTAGAGGCATTTCAGCTCTGCAGGAAATTCCTAGTTTGTATTGGGGTTTTTGTTGTTGTTTTTCTTGTTTTTTTTTTTATTAACCCTCGATGAAACTTTTATAACTTTCTCCTCTAGTACATACTTTGAAACAAGTCTTGAGTGTTCCAACATTTACACTTTATTCTTGCCTCAGCCCAAAAAGCAATCAATCAAGCTTTTGGAAGTTTTGAACAGGAAACGTCACCTGAAAATGCACAGGTGAAAATGCCAACTGCAACACAATTCAAATACAGTGCAACTGCCACCTCTGATTTTATTTTAAATGGCTCAGAATTTTCATCACTATTTCACAATTAAGTTGCAGTGCTAAAGAAGTCACTGAGGCTGCAAGAAAAGGTCCAAATGTGCACTCTAGTGCAAGAACAATCATGATTTATTTTTGGGTATGAATTCCTTTAAAACAGAGACTGCCTTAATGCTGTCCCCAAGAAGTCTAGAGCACATTCTCTCCTAGGCCTTCAATTCACTTTTACAGCTCCCCACAGATGTTAGCAGATGTTAAAAACACTTCAGTGTTCTGGATAGATGCTTTAACCTTTGAGCTATGGATGGAGAAAAAACCTGTGGGACCCATGGCTGATTTTTCCCTCACTTTTACAAAATGGAGGTTCTTTGGGTATGTTTTTTTTTGTGGAAATGAAATTATGTTAGCAAGGCTGAGCATGAGCTGACACTGACCTGTACCTGAAGCAGTGCAGGATGTAAAAGAAGTTCTGCTGTCAGCACTTCCCTCTGCTAAGTCCAAACAGTTCTTTGCTGATATCTTTGAAGAACTTTTACTGTTAAGCAGGTAACTGCTAACTAGGACATGATTTAATTCAGGGTCCTAATTCCACAGCAGGTGCTTAAAAGACCTTCATTACAGGCATTTCAACTCAATTCACCAAATACAAATAAACTTCATTAACTGCTCTAACACAATAATTTCTGTCAAGATTAAAGCACTTTTTTATTCAAGAATTTGTTAGGATTGTTTTTTAAATTGGATCAAAAAAGCACAAGTGCTACAAGAGCAATTTCTGGCTGGAGCAATTTTCAGTTTATTGCATTAACGCAATAGTTGGAATGCCAAATCATAAGGAAGTATTTTCATTCCACAGCAAAAGCTTTGTGAAGAAGTTTCAGCTAAACTAAACAGCTGACATCTAGGGCAGCTACAGAAAATCCTTGCAGAGGTGACAGACTCTGCAGGTTTTGTCTGCTGATCACAGCAGCACACTGTTAATGTCAGCTGCTGTCCTGGTGCTTCTTTGCAAGGCAACTGCTCAAGCAAGGATTTGCAAGTAGAAGGTTCAATACAGACTGCACAAAAAAACCCCCAAACAACACACCCCATCCAAAAGCTGAAGAATGACCATCTCTATGGCAACTAAAGCACTTAGCATGCTCATGCCTCACGTAAATTGGCACAATTTTACAAATGAAGTTGGTAGAATCCCGGTTAAAGTAATGTGAGTAAAGTATCTAGAGACCAAACAGTATTTCAGGTGTTAACACTCAAATCATCATCTAGTACTAATTGCTAATGCAGAGGGGAAGACTGCAGACAGCGCAGCACTGTGGGCTGAAGAGACACCAGTGGCTGGCTGTACTTGTGTATCCCAGCAGGGTGCTGGGGTGGTCAGGTCGTTAGTAGGCTTGTCAGGTTGATTACCCAGAGCCAACACCCAGTGTAGTCTGGGTAGGGCCCAATAGGAAATAACACCTTCACCCCGTTGTGTAACTTCACCCTCAGGCTGGGTATTGTTGTGCAGCTGAGTGAGCCGACTGCGGCCTCCAGGAGGAAGAAATGCCGCAATCGCCTTCACAATTGTTGGTTCTGGTGCTTGTCTGATTACAAGATAAGATGATCCAACTCACTCACCCAAGCCAACAAAAGAGCATGGACTCCTCACCCATTAATTCTCCTGCTAGCTGAAGTTAACATCAGTGTCTTGTCAGGAGCACTGTTGGCCTGCTTTCAGATGTGCCTCGGCAAGCATGCAGGCAAGTACTAACTTGGTAAATAGCTTGCTTGCTAAAAAAATCCCACAGTCCTGAGGATCTTTACTTGGAAGTCACTGCTTCCACAAATACGATATAGAATCATCTAGGTTAGAAGAGACCTTAAGAGATCATCCACCCAGTCCAACCATGCACCCAGCACCATCACTGCAACCCCTAAACCATTAGACCTTATCACCCAGTACCAGATCCAGACACCTTTTGACCACCTCCAGGGTTGGTGACTCCACCACCCCAGGCAACCTAGTCCAATGCCCGACAACACTAACAGGGAAAAGAAATTCTAATATCTAGTCTGAATCTACCCTGTCTGAGCTTTAGGCCATCTCCTCTTGTCCTCTCACGGCAGGCACAGCAGGAGAGACGAACCCCTCCCCACTGAGCCTGAGCCGCCCTTCAGGGAGCTGTGGAGGGCAGTGAGGCCCCTCCTGAGCCCTCTCCAGGCTAAACACACCCAGATCAACATGCCAGCCCAACTTGATGTTATTTGCAAATTTGCTAGTAATAGACTATAAATGCCCTCATCTAGATCATGGCACAAAGGAGTTTCAGCCTCTTTGTTCTTCACTAATCCTCACTATTATTGATACTTCATTTAGAGATTCATTACAAAAGCAACTGCCCTAATGCTTAGGAAAAGAGTTATAGTTCTTTTACTTTAGGATAAGCTTTAACCAGTTTTAAACCCTTGCATTCAAGGGAACACTGCTTAGAGCTCTTCTACACTGATACACATAAAATGTGGTCAGTGCCTGTGAAGAAGGCCAGCAGCAACACTTAATCCAGTTCCTCACCACAGGGCAAGCCTGATCCACCACACCATCACAGAGGAGTACTTAAGGAACAAAACACTCCTGAGACAATCAAAGAGCAGAGCATCTTTCAGAAGGCTGTCACCTAATAGTGTTCTATGCAGGTTTTAGTGCATAAGCTTCTTACAAGATTATTACCTAATTTGCAGTCCTGAAGTTACAAACCACAGCTGATAGCTACTTTTGAGTGTACTTAATAAATCTCCATGAAGCAGATTTGCATTCAATAGTTTATTTAGAATTGTAAAAGCATAGGTGTTACATACTTTGAGTAATTGCATATTTGTTAGAATCTTACCTACTCAGAAGACTGGTGTGTGCAAAGACAAGAAAGTCATGCTTAGATTCCCCCCCAGAAGTTTGTTGCTTTAGTATTTGTTCCCCTGTTCAGTAAAATTTCCACGGAAACAGAGTGAGGAAATATAGACACAGAATAGCTATAGTTATTGAAGTGTATGAAGACAGTCCAACATCATCACAGCCCCTACAGAACTACTGAAAGTACATCCGCCTAGTCTTTAAAAGGACAAAGCCTGCACTAGGCAAGAGTTAGAGCAAACAGGCAACAAGCCAAGTTACAGGTCACTCAAGCCATTTGTATTTATGGCTTGTTATGAACAAGCAAATTGGTGTCAACTCCATCACATCATTCCAAAAGATATCAATGGGCTAAATATACACATACATATTTTTTTAAAAGATACATGTATGTATATACATTTTTAAAATAAGGCATGTATTTATTTCAGGCTCTTAAGACATTTTTCCACACTCTTTTCCTATTAATACAGTGTATGTTGCCATTTTATTGCTAAAGAAAGCATACCATCATTGCAAGCAGAACAGCATCAACACTGGCCTTTGTCAGCAATCCAGTTAATAAAGTTCAAGACATAGATTAACACTATATAAGAATGTTACTGTTACAGAAGAGCAGAAGACTAGTTGAATTCTATTAAGATTGTACCAAATCATTCTCTTGACATAGTCTGTAGTTAACATTATAGGCTAAAAAGCAGAACAGTACCATTCTGGAGCAACAGAACCTAAGAGTACCTAAAATTCTACTTCCCCATCTCTACTTAGCTGTTATATTAAAAAATACACAAGGGAAGGATGACGACACAACAAACTTCCTATTCTGCTCTAACAATGCTTTCTTCTGCAAGAAATGATGCAGGACTTCTGAGCTCATCCAGGGGTAAATCCTAATATGAATGAAAATGCACACACCGTTATCATTGTGTAACCAATAACAGTTACTTGTTAGAGTGACTTACAAGGAGCACTCTCTAAGTTTTTTGTCAGCCTGCTTCAGGGAGATCCAGGTGTTTAACATGTTTGATCGCAGTTTGGCCCACACTAAATGGTTGTTTAGCCCAAATATCTGGGCAGCAAACTGGGCAGCTCCTTCAGGTGACAGAGTAGTGGGACAGCTAAGACCTGCAGAGAAGAGAATGCCACTTACTAAAGCATAGTTTATAGTCAAACAAAACATTTTCTTTGAAGAACAATTTAAGACAAGGCTTGTTTCAGCCTCCAGGAGCCACATGACCAGTTTTAAAGCTAATGAAGTGTCACATGTTCCATTACTTTTAATGTGACTGCTTTGTGGCACTTCACACCAGAAGCCATTCTGCAAATGACTCTCTTATACAGAGGTAACAGATTTCTGGGCCTCCACTCAAGTTACTAAGTTAAAAATAATACAGGTAAAAATTAGTAGTTAAATGTGAGGTTTACCTACACTGATTTTTGAGAAAGATACTATTTGATCTTTGATCATAAGGAAAATGCATCAAAATTCAATTATTTAAATTCCCATTAATATTATTTTCAATTTCAAAATAAAAAGTTTAGCAAGGATAAGCCAAGGCTTACTTTTTTAAGGATTATTTCTATGTAATCTTTGCTGTCGCTGTTGGGCTTTTTGCCATTAAGAAGTCAAAGCCTGCATGTGACAGATTTCCACAGACTTTGCTGATCCAGCTGCTTTTCCAATGCTTTGCCCCTTGTGTGTACAGTACAATAAGAACAGAAAAATGGAGCTAGATCAGAAGAAGAGCATAACTTGAAGATCATCTTACCACTGGGTAGTCTGAGAGAGGACCACACATCCTGAGTGCCCCAGTCAGCTGAGAGTGGAGGGCAGTTGACAACTGGGTAAGCAGTGTTACCAGACATCACTGGCCCCAAGCCATTGCTTCTGCCAGCCACTGCAACAAACACTGTTGGGATTCCATCTCCTGGGGAGGAAGACATTTGGAGATAAGCAATCCCCCTTGTTCTCTACCACTTGCTGTCATGGAGCTTTGTCTGAGTTCACAGCTGTGTTTGCAGTCATCTTTTCAATTCCATCACAAGACACTAATATTTTGTGTCCAACTTCCTCTTTTAGAGAAAAATCTTCTAAGAAATCTTACATCCTTAAATCCCAGCTATGTTTACCAGACACAGCTGAAATGAGCATTTCTTACTCTGCCTCTGAGGGGAAGTCTCTATCAGAGGAAGAGGTGCTGCTTAGCTTTGCAAAGAACATAGCCATTAATCCTCTGGCATCTGTAAGTGTTCCTCTCCTTAAATCTGAAACAATTCCGCTCAAAGTAAGTGTTTTAACTATGGTTACCACATTTGTATTTTCACCAAGTAGAATGGTATGCATAGAATGTGTATACTCCCACAGAAATAAATAATTCCTGTATCTCCTCTGCTAGGCTAGACACACTTTTGAAGAGATGTAAAGTCTTCTTGGCAAAGAGAGTAATGTAAAGCAAGCATTTTTTTCTCATGGCATCTAAAGTATTAAGCAAGAATGTTTTCATCAAACAGAAAAAACATGGTGGGAGCAACATCTGCCTAATACAACACATGAGAATATTCAGTCAGAGAAAATGTTGTCCTGCCTTGTTTCAGAAACGCTGGCATCACCAGAAGGTACTACAGTAAATCTATTAACATGATCAGGGCTTGGGCAAAGCATTTCTGATACTGAGATAAAAGCAGAGGTTAGGCTTTGAGTAATGGAAGGTGTGGCAGGACAGCAGGACAATACATTACTCTAAAATTACCTAAAGCAGTCATGCTACTAGCAACTGTGAAACACAACTGTAACACAGCCTGGTGTTCTGTTTAACAAAAAAATGGAAAAACCCCACATCAATCTTTTAGGTTGCCAAGTCATTCTGAAACATGATGCTGTGTCAATCCAAAACAGTATTTCTTGGCATTTACCTTCATATTCTGCTTTGATCCTCAGGGTTTCATCTGGCCCTTTGTGAGCAGAAGTCACTCTTAATTCACAAGGAATTCCAAAGGTTGCACATGCCTTTTTTATTTTTTCACAGTGACTGAGGTCAGAAGAAGATCCCATTAACACCACAACTCTACCTTGGCTCTTTGTTTTTAGAAGCAACTAGAGAAAACAGTGGAGAGGGAGAGGAGAAAAAAAAGCAGTCAACAGGATTGAAGGCACACAGTTTTTATAAACAACACATCTAGACTTTGATAACAAATACCTCCACTCTTTCTGAAACCCATTCAAAGTTTCTCTTAACCATTTGCAGTGCTTCAGGAGTCACTTCTTTCAGGTCCCGATAGGACTGGAAAAGGAAAACAAAAGCATTGAAGTGTTGTGGTTTAACCCCCGGCAGCAGCCAAGCCCCACACAGCCTCTCACTCACTCCCCCACCAGAGATCAGGGAGAGAATCTGAAAGGTAGAACTGAGAAAACTCATGGGTTGCAATAAAGACATTTGAACAGGCAAAGCAAAAGCTGCACACACAAAACAAAAGAAGGAATTCATTCCCTGCTTCCCATGGGCAGGCAGGTGTTCAGCCATCTCCAGGAGAGCAGGGCCCATCACACATAACTGACTTGGAAAGACAAACACCATCAACTCCAAACATCTCCCCATAACCACTTCCTCCTTCCCCCACACTTTATATACTGACATGACGTGGTCTGCAATATCCCTTTGGTGAGCTGGGTCACCTGTCCCAGCTGTGTCTCCTCCCAACCTCCCACACATCCCCAACTTCCTCACCAGTGTGGCAGTACCAAAAGCAGAAAAGGCCTTGGGGTCTGTGTTAGCCCTGCTCAGCAGTAACAAAAACATCTTTTTATTATCAACCTCCTGTTCAGCACAAATTCAAAACACAGCCTCATATTAGCCACTGCCAGCCAAAACCAGCAGACAAAGTTAATAAGGTTTGGGTACACAAAAGACTAATTTTGCTACCATAATTGGTAAGAATTATTATTATACCTCAAATGAAATATTTGCACAGTTTCTAGCAATTCCAGGCATAAACAGCCTTCTATATTGCAATTTATGCCCATGTACAGCACAAAGGACTTTCAGCCACAGGGATATTAAGATTTTGGAAGCTTTCCACAGGGAAAATTTAAGGAAAAACATACAACTTCTTTAAAATTGGATTTCTCATGACATGATTGCCTGCAGTAGCACTGTACCAGCCTAGGTTCTACATGATATCATCATGTACCTTATTTTAGGAGACTGTCAGAGCAACTCACTCAAGCATGCTACTACATAATTCAGATCAAGTCAACAACAGAGCAGTTTTTCTTCCCAATTTAAAATTAATACTGTTCCTCCCAGGTACACTTTGAAATCTTCCCCCGTGGCTTACAACACCTTCTCTCACAGGGTCTCTCACATGTTGTCTCAACAACCATAACAAACTCCTGGCAGCAGCATTTCCAAACCAGCTCCTTCATAACTTGTCATCTGGTAATTCAGAGATATTTGTGAAGTATAAATGCTTTAAGTTTGAAAGAGAACTTGTCCTATATTTAAACTTGCTTGCAGGCCTCATGTGGGCACAGACTATTAGCAACAATTTTGGAGGCACCATTACTGAATTCATGGTTAACCAAAATAAATAAACAAAAGCATCCTCACTGCAGTTCCCTCTTAAGTATCAGCAGATCTCTACTAGTAGAGGATAATAGTAATTAATCTCTGAATAAGCTGAGAAACTTGGAGGCAGACCTGGGAACCAAAGCTTCTATTCTTCCCACCTATCTGTTATCAACTATTTTAGCATCTGTGCAAGTCAGAAATCCTTATCACTCCTGGAAACCCCACACTTCACTATGACAGCTCCAGTCAATAGTGCTGTTAGGTATTCCAGCTGAAGATATACAGACAGGATTTTTTCCTACCATAAACCAGATACATTATTTAATGAGAACAGGTTTTGACACATACAAATTACTCTGTAAGAAGGTAAGACCACCTAGAAAAAGCCACTCCAAAAGCAAATGGTAAACTGTAGGCTTTACTTTCTTCATTCTTCTTCCCTGCTCAACTTGGAAGGTAAAGATTAAAGCACCACCTGTTTGTCCTTTTGCTGGCTTCTGTCTCCTGCTGGCCACAGTCTCCATGAATCATTGTCGATAACATCAGCAAGAACAATTTCTTTTGTCAGCACATTAACACCAAATTCAATCTAAAAAGACAATAAGAATCCTATTTTAGTAATTATACAGAGATATTTTTCCTGTCAAAACCAGGATCATGAGAAATCAGATTCTTCTACCTTCAGGTCTACAAGAGTGCAGTTTTGGGGCTGCCATGCTTTTTCCAGAATCTCAAAAATGGCTTGAGTAGAACGAGACATAATGTCCACTTCAGTCTGGCCTATTGTAAGTCCAGCAAAACAGAATTTTGCTTCAATTATTTGCTCTTCAGACCACTGTGGATCATTATTAGCATCATCCTGTTAAGAAAACCAGAACAAATACATGATGCAATTTAAGCTTGCTATAGGAGGAAAACAGCCATTAAAAGATAGGTTTTGCGTTTTTTCCTAAGTAACAAATACAGGCTTCAAACTAATCTTTTATGATTAGCATTAAAAAAATGACAGTAACATTGAAAACACTTGCTGTAAAACACCTGACCATCTTTAAGAGTAACAGGGTACACCACAAACACTTTAGATTATAGTTCACCAGACACATCTATAAGCACACATTCCCAAAGGAGTTCAGAATCCTAAAGGACTAGCTAGCTACTTACCCTCACCATACAACCACTGTTTAATTTCTTCAAATATATCAACACATCTGTTTCAGCTGATGTATTAAGCTTATGCCTAAAAAGCCCTTATACCTACATTTTTGTGATTTTCAGTACAGCTTGGTTTGTTATTCTTTGATTGTACTGTAAGCCACTACGGTATAGACATGGGACAAAACAGCTTTTGGATAAGAATGCAAAAAAACATTAGAATGGCAAAACTACTGAGAGTAAGAGGATTGGTCAGACACTAGCACTACTTGCTTTATCTGTCAGCATTTTAAAGGAGATGATACAGAATTTTAGCTCTGCTTAAGTTTGATTAACATCACAGGAAAGGAAACTTACCTTGAAAAACATCTCAATTTTTGGTGGGTAAAACTTATATCCTTCTTTGACACCAGGGTTTCTCTTGAGGAAGGAGCCAGTAGCAATTCTTCTGCACACCCATTCAATCGGGATCATTTCACAGTGAGCTGCTATGAACGCTGTGTCACTCTGTTTCCTGACAAAAGCTGTTTTGATGCCTAAATAAAAAGACAGCAGCTTAGTTCCATTAGTAAGCACACTCCACAGCTAGAACAGTAGTCGCAAACATCTTTAATTTTAAGTACATCTGAATCTTGTCCTTCCCTTGACTTAAAGGACACACTAAATCTTTTCATGGTATTTTTGCCCACTCCAGCCTTCCAAAAGGCAAGTATCTTCCACAAGTCATTAGTTTTGCCAATTTTATCATACAAAAATAACTTTTAACTCAGAAATCCTATTTTTCTAATTCTGTTCACAGAGCCTTAAAAATTAAATCTATCCTTCACAATGTTTTTGTTTGTTTAAAAAAAATAGCAGCAACCAAGTACCCAACCATGTTCTCTGGTGAAAGATTCATTATAGATTGAACAGTAATTGGAGCCTTTCAAAGGAGTAACAGAGCACAGCAGTCTTTACAGCTTTGCTTAATAAAAGCAGATGGGGCAGAGAGAATGGCTTTGTTCTCCCTTTCATCACAAACCAAGTTATTTAGGACACTAGATCTTGGTGATTTATTAGGCAAAAGACAGATTGAGAATCATGTGCACTCAAACCTGCTGCCACAAGTTAACCTTCCTACATAATTGTAAGATGATGGACTACATATTAAACAGGGACAGCCAACATGCAGATCAGCACCCTAAGTGCAAAATGGATCTTTTTTTCAATTTCACTCCTGAGGAAAGTCCCACCTTTCTCCCTGACTGCTGCAAGTAGGCAAAACCCTACAGAAGGAAGGCCTTGTAAGATCATGGCTCAGGCCTGTTACTTTGGCCTGTTACTTTGGGAATGTGACTCTGCTGAGTTAGAGGTAGAAAAACAAATCATATAACCATGATGTGTTCACATCATGGGTTATGGTGGTTGGTTGAATTATGTTTGTTATGATTTAAAACCATGTAGCTGACAATGGGCTAACTGATTAAGAAAGCCTGGTTTTTGCCATAAAGCAGCTCTGCTCTGCACCTGCCTGGGGACTCTGCATCCCATACCTGACCAGGGCAAGACAACTGCCAAGCCCAGTCAGCATCTGCCAGAAACAGAAGGCAAAGGAGCTGCACTCAGTCAAACCAAGCAGTTCTACTCCATTCCACTTCCAGAACCATTAAGGAAGAAACAAAAAGTCTCAAAATATGAACACTGACTCTTCAAAGTTCAGAGCGTTTCCTTCAATGGCAGAAAGATTTAAATAATCGAACGCACATCAAGGCCCCATCTGGTTTACTATGACATTTTTCATCAGTGCAGATGTGTGCTTTTGCTAGGCTGACATTAGCTCTAGTCTAAAAGGGAGAGAAACTTTAACAGAGCTTTGTAAATCATCACCTCTGAAAGAGCAGGTAAAGAGTTGCGCAAGACAAGCAAACACCCTCTACAAGGAGGCATTCTCACTATCTGCATCTACACCACTGAAAGAAGGAAACTGGAGAAGAACCTCAAAGTTCTTTTGTTGCTTTAAAATGTAGCTGCAGTTTACTCTGCCTGTTTTTCCATGGCACCTGTGGAAGTTATGAGTACTAGCCACTCATGGGTTTTTGAGAGGTCAACAGAATGGCTTCTTGTTAAAAGCACACACATCTGTAGGATATGAAGTATTTTGATTGTTATCCTAACCATCACCATTCAAGAATTGGGCAAAACATCTTACTAATTGCTCCTAAATGAAAATTAGAAGTTTTAATCGACTGCAAAAATAATCAAATACCTATGAGGCTTCTTAGTAGTGTATTCACAACAGGCTTCCCAAGAAAGCCTGTGACTCAGGATTACAGCAGTCTATATCTCTGGTATGTATTTCTGTGTAAAATATGGGCTGAGATAAAGCTGTAACTCTAGAGACACCATCTTTCTCTTCCCCATATGAACCATGCTAGGACTTCACAGTTAGCTATCACCACACCTTGTAACAGATACTACAATTCCAGAGTAACTCAGCTGGTGCCTGAAGCATTCTTTGTGCGACTGTTTCAAAGCACATGGAGCACACAGTTATAAGCAATCTTAGCTAAGCTTAGTAGTGCCTGTATTCTAATCCTGTTAGCAGACACCACCAGCACGAATTCCTCTTTGCAACTTGCCAACTACCCAAAGACACTTTAAAATTCTTTCTCAGAGCAAAACCACTGGCTCCATTTTTGGAAGTGGGGTGCTAAACTTACTTGAGTGACTTAAGTTACATACTCTATAAAACTCCCTGCTAGCATCAGGGAGTTTGAATCTTTTAAAGTAAAGATTAGGCTCCTGATATACTCAATACAGACTGATAAATGTATTTTGCAATGTGGTCCTTGCAAGTGTTATGTGCAAAGCTTACAGGAAGTTTATGCTGCTATAACACACAACTGAGGGGGGGAAAAGACACTCTAATTTTATGTTTCAGCTTACATACAAAGATTTCACAATGCCTAGACACAGTGTGGTAGTACCACTAGCTATAAATGTTCTATGCATGCACATGTAGTAAAGCAAGGCAGATGCATCCAGCCCAGAGTTACAGGTAAGGAAGTGTACGATATGGAAGACCTGACAAAAGCAGGGGGGGAGGGGGTTAGAGGCACGTCCAAACAACCAGGAGAAACTATCGCAGTTATCTGCAACACTAGATTACTGCAGACACTCTCGTGTTCCAAACGAACAAGTCAGTCACCCAGCTCTTAAGTACCAGAGAGAAAAGCATAATTAAAAGCTAATAAAAAAAAAGAGACTAAAAACCACAAAAGCCTCAAGGCAGGTTAAACTCTTTTATAAAACAATACTGTTTTGTAATAACGTCTGAAACATACAAGCATACACACTCTGCCTTTAAAATACCGACCAGCTTCCTGAAGCAGCTGAAACACACAGCTCGTCGTTGTGTTGGAAATGGCAGCCTTCCCTTCCATTCGGTCTTTCCTGGCTGCATTTCCCGCCGTTATTTGGTCTTTTGACTGCATGAGAACACATCCCGGGATATCTGGCAGCTCGTACACTTCTTTCGTTTTACCTTCATTAACTTTTTTGCCAAGCTTCAAGTCTAGAGGAACAAAAAACAAAACACGAAAAAAAAAAAGTCATTTTTGCATCGCAAAGATTTGTTTACTTCCGCACGCAGAGCCAGCCCGACCACGAGGAGCTCCCCGAGCCCCGACCCACGAGGCGATCTGGCCACGTTCCCCCAGCACCGAGGCCCAGAGCCCCGCTCAAGGCTCCCGCCCGACAGCACGGGGGCCGCGCCAGCCGCGGCCGGGCCGCTCCGGCGGTGTCCCGGCCGCCCCCACGGCCCCGGGCAGCCGGGAGCTGCCGCCTGAGCGCGGCGGCCGAGAGCCCCGCTGCTTTTCTGCTCCTTCAAACTTCGGGGGAGTCCCGGAGCTCCGCCACACGAGCGGCGCGGGGCGGCTGCCGCCCCCAGCATCCTGCGCCTGGAGCTGCCCTCAACACCTCTCCTGCAGCCGTGCCCACCCTCGCGTACGAGCGACTACCCATGGAAAAATAAAAAAAACCTAAAAATTTAAAATCACTCCGGGAAAAAGTTGGTTCTCAAGCACCTACACCCCAAGCCGCTGAGCGGGCACCGGCCCCCCGAGAGCGAAACCTCCGACCGACCGACCCACCCCCGACGGCCGCCCGGTTACCTGATGCTGCGGGGGCCATGGCTGCGGCGGGAGCGGGCGCGGGCACCTAGGGCACAGGAGAGAGCCTGAGCGCACACCGCAGGGCTCGGCCGCCGGGGTAAGAAGGGGCCGGCGGAAGGGGCGGGCAGCCCGGGCAGCGGGCCGCGACGGCACCCGCCAATCGCCGCCCTACTCCGCGGGGCGGCCCCGCCGAGCCCCCCGAGCAAACCCCGGACGGCAGCATCACCCCCCCGACCCCGTCCCGTGCAAACAGAGCCCCGGCCCTCTGCCCGGCCAATGCCGGCGCCTCGCCGCGCCCGGGCCCCCCGCACTCTCACCCCGCGGGCAAACATCCCCTGGGCCTGGGGCGCCCCGCGGCGTGGCGGGCAGAGCGGAATCTAGGGGAGGCGGGGCCGGGCGAGGCGGCGGAGCGGGCCGGGGTGCGGTGTCGCCCCCCCCGTATGTAAATGAGGGCGGGAGGCGCCCGGCGGGCCACCGGGATCCCCGGGCGGAGCGGCGTTGTGGGGTGAGCGCGCCGCCGGCAGCAGCGCGCGGGAGCGGGACCGGGAGCTGGAGCGGGGCCGCCGCGCCACCACGTGCTGCCCGCGCCATGGAGCTGGAGGAGCTGGGCATCCGGGAGGAGTGCGGCGTGTTCGGCTGCATCGCCTCCGGCGCGTGGCCCACGGAGCTGGACGTGCCCCATGTAATCACGCTGGGGCTGGTGGGGCTGCAGCACAGGTAAGAGGGGCGCGGGGGCCGGATGTGCCCGGACGCGGCTCGGTGTCGGAGCGGGCCGCGGCGGCTGCTCGGGGCCGTGCGGCGGCACGTGCAGCCTGCAGGGCCTCGGGTCTCCGGCGGCGGGAGCGCTCGGGGAGGGGAGGGCAGCGCTCCGATCGGTCCCTTCCGCTCCGCCCCGTCGGGGAGCCCCGGCAGCATCCCGGAGGCGAAGGGCAAGGAGCACCCCATCTCCTCCTGCCTCCCGAGCCGGTCCCGCCGAAGGAGAGCTGTCGAACGCCTTTGGACCTCGGCTGCATCTCGCCTGAGTCGCCCCCGCTCTCGCTACCGGGCCCGCGCCACCGGCCAGGGCGTTCGCACGTCCCTGCGCGGAGCCCGCGGCGTGGCTGAGCCCCGGGCGGCGTGGCCGAGACCCAGGTGGCGAGGGTAAGCCCCGGGCGGCGGGAGTGAGCTCCCGGCGGCGGCGCTGAGCCCCGAGCAGCGGGAGTGAGCCTCGGGCGGAGGGGATGAGCCTCGGGCAGCAGGGGGTGAGCCCCGAGCAGCGGGGATGAGCCTCGGGCGGCAGGGGGTACGCCCCCCACAGCAGAATGCACCCGCCGCCCCGTCCTAGCCGCCCCGAGCGGGAGGCCCGGCCGTCATTCTCAAGATGCTCACTTTAAAGTGTAAGTCACACAATCCGAGGCTACCGAAACTGAGCAATTCTTAAGCGTTTTTAGGCTCCTACTGGCGTTAGTGGTTTAGATTCATCATCGCGATATAGTAAAACTTCTACCTGACGTCTCTACGGCAATGTACAACAGACCTGATTCACTGTCATCCATGTGGATGCAGAACTACAGAATGAAGTTTGGGTTCTGCTTCCATCTGGTTGGTATTCAAAATAATAATGGTATGGAGTGACATATACCAGTCATTTTTTCAGTGGTGCCAGAAAAGTATATCGTCCTTGTGGGAGCACATGCACAGCTGGGCAAGCACAAGATCGTTCGGTAGTACGAACGCTGAGCCCGTTTGCTGTGCTTGATTCCACAGCTGGAAAAAGTGTGCTCAGTAAACAGGCTCCTGACAGTCTAGCAGGTGGGCTACCTAGGTAACCTGGGCATGGGTAAGTACACATGCACTGAATAGATAAAATACATTCTTTGTATTTCTCAGGTCACAGACATGCAAATGTTGCTCTGGTTTTGGACCAACAATAGGAAATCGTTTACATGGACATTTTCTGTTTATTACAGTAGAGTTTCATATACTTTTCCTGTTAAAATGCTGCATTCCTACTGACTCTCGTATGCTAATAATTCTCTTTCAACTGCAGGTATATATATTTTGCCAGTGTCCACCAAAAATGTTTATATTTGAAGTGATACAGCCAAAGTCCCAGGAACAAAGCCATGGTTTTCGTGTAAAATGAAACAATAGTCTCGTTTTATCTTGCATTGATTTTCTCTAAAGAGGTTGGAAATAATCTTACCTTGTTTGTGCTTACATTTACACTGGTAGACCTGGAGTATTTTAGGTGGGATTGATGTATTTTTATTATTTTGTATTTTATTATCTCAATTTTCATTGCAACCTTATTTCAACTTTTCAATATGCGTTGTTTGTTTTTTGGTTTTTTTTTTCTTTGATGGGCACTTGACAAATATATTTAATTTGCTTGACCTTTTTAATATCAGATATCCCCCGTGGAGGACACAACTGTACACACCAATATTTATACCATGATTGAAATTCATCATTCATTCACAAATTCTACAGGAAGCTACACGCCTAGAGGCATATATGCACTACCTCTGATTCTGATCTAACTCAGTAATGGTCAAAAATTTTAAGGGATGCTTTCCTAAAGGCATAAACATTGCACCTGTAAAAGTGAAACAGTCTGTTCCATTAGGTATACCTTTGCAAGCACTCAATAAAGTTCTGTTCAATAGCTGTGATGTTAATGTTCCTATTCTCTTTGCTAATGTTTCTGTCTTTGCATTTCCTATTCCAATGGGTAGAAGAGCTGCCATCCTGATCAGGAAGTAACAAGATAACAGCTATTTTTCTTTTTACTTTTTGGAATGTCTCTTGAAAACCAGAGTTAAAGTTTAGCATTAACTGAATCAGTAAACTGCATTAGGCCCATGGTTTTGAAGTTAAAAAGGAAGACATGTCTCTTAACCATAGGTCTTTAAAAAGAAATAAATATGAAAGAAGATTATAGTAAGTATTAATGGGCTATCCAAGTCTGGCCTGAGTGGCTAGCATAAATTTGACTGGCCACTAGAAAATACAGTCCTTAGACATCACCTTCAAATTGGTTAGGATATTTATGTAATGATTGCTGCCCTTTGATATAAGCATGTTCTTCTATATTCAAATTAGTCCTGTGCAATAAATCAAATTACAGAATTTGGCCCTTAATTTGTCTCAGATTTTAAAATTTAGAATATTAAAGTATGGCATTGTATCAAGCTGCATTTCTGAGATGCCTGGGCCACAAAGAGCAGAACATGTTATAATTTCTAATCTTTGAAATCTTACCTGTATATGTAAAAATCCAGAGTATTTGTTAGAGGCCACAAAAACATGCAGCATAAATTCTTTGTGCTTTGATACAGCTGGTTGCAGCAAGGTGAAGGACTTGGCTGTTTCTGATAAATGGCCAAGAACAAGTTGATAATTTTTATTACTGTGGCATTGAAGAGATTTTCTTCACTGTGGATGTTTGCAGCTGAAAACTTGAAACTCTGTATGCTTCATCATGCAACCAAAATACTGGAGCATGTGTTCAGTGGTGTGCATGAGCAGTGCTTGCAGCTTCACTCACTGAAACTGTTTTGCATTAAAAATTGATGTGTACATGTAAGCAAAGTTTGAAAGCCCACAAGTAGACTCATAATCAAAGACAAAAGATACTTGTAGTTTCACTATTGTGACATTAGCAGAAACAACTTTAAAAGTTGTTTAGGGTTGCATTTTTTTCCAATAATTAAAAAGCAACTGCTAGTTGTTGAGGCTTTAATTCTCACTCCTTTGCAGCAGAAGTTAGAACAGAGAGTTTTATTGGCTTTAACTTTGTAATGGTGAACTGTGAATTAAAACAAAAACCAGAATATTCTTACTCTCAGTCTAATCAAGGCCTTCAACACACTTAAAACATTATATCAATTTAACTTGAAACCTTGGTAACATTTTACAGTAGTGAATTTTAGCAGTGAATGCTCATTAACTTAATTCTGCTCAAGCAAATCATGTTACTCTGGCATCAACATTAACAAGGCTTAAAAGTGGATGGTCTAAATAATCTCTGCATTTTGTAAGCCAGGGAACAGAGTCACTGCAAAATCCACTGACAGCATGCCAAAATCAAATCAGAGTGTGTTGGTAAGGAGAGAATTTTCTTGGGGGTGGTGAGGGAGGGAGGAGTTACTCTGAATTACAAATCTATTAGACGTCATTTGAGTCCTTGACCAGGACAAATTTGCAAAGTCAATCTTCGAGGAAGTGTGATTTCTGTTAACTTTTTGCAAAATTCTTTGAAAAATATTTTTGGCAGTAATACTGTGTACTGAAACCTGAGTGTACCAGCTTTGTACTCATTTTTAGAAAAAGTCCTTAAAAGCTATCTTCTATGAAGGTGGAAGTCCCATTAAGTCAGGAAATATCCCTTGTCTCAGCTGGGCCTGTGTATGGAACTTGTTATCAGTGGAGGCTTGGCTAGTTTTTTGGTACCTTTCCTGTTACTGTCCATTATAACAGAATCCAGATAATCACCAATGTAAGTTAAGGCACTTCTCTCTCAATCTAGTAAAGTCACTGGTTGCTTCCCATTAGCCATCCTTCCAAATACTTACATTCAATATAGCATAATCAAAGTGTTAATCTACATTTTATATACATTTTGGCTACAAGATAGGGGTTTTTTTTTAAAGGCTATTTAGCAAGCCATTGGTATTGTGACTTACACTGTGAATCTTTCAATCAAAAAGCTTAAAATTGCAATAGTATTTGAATAAGAATTTTCGGAGGAGATCAGATATACTATAGGTAATGATTCTGATAATTTGGTATATAAGGTATTTATCTTTAACTTTTATCTCAAGAACACTTTATGAGTTCAACATATCCCTCATTCCCAGGTGCAAGAAGTGCAGTGTCAAATGTCCTAACTATCTAAATACCAAATCTTGCAATTAGTGATATTTCTTTGTAAATCCCCTATGGAATATACAGGGTACGAGATTTGCCTAGCCAGTGATTGAGTCTGTATGCTATTTGACGATAATATTCATGCTCTATGTGCTGGTAAAACATTCCTGAGTAGTTTTAGACACAGAATGTAGATGTAAAACCCCTTCTTTTAGTTCTATCTTGGGTCAAGTTTTAGGCCATTATGTTCTGCAGGTGATGGATGACAGCCTGGCTTAATTACATTCTGCAAAGTTTGCTCCTGCAAAAGAGAAGAAAGGCCTTTTTGCTGTGGTGAGCTCTTCCATCTGCTAGGTTGTCTTACATAACATCCTGCAGGGCTCAGGTTCCTGCACACTCATTTTTGGGAAAGTGAAGCCAGATTTCATTCTAACCAAGTTGAGGCCTCTTCAATGCACATGTCACAAAATGTAGTTCAGTCTAAGCTTTTATCTCTGAATGTGGAGTAACCAGCTGGAATGAGATGTTATAAGGAGTGGAAAAAACAGGAGGGAAGTGGTGCAAAACATGAGATACAAGAGGACATTTCTGAGACAGCCATTGTTTATTGTGGCAAACAGACTTCCCATTACATTAACCTAGCTAGAGGGCTGGGGTGAGACTGTTCATTCTTACGTACTTTGACTGTAGATAAGTCATCCATATACATCTCTCCAGTAATTTTCACAGGATTGCTTGGTTGGCCTGTCTGCCCATACCTTAAATTTGAGCCTCATGCATGGAGGGAGGGTTGCATGCAGCAACCTGTGTTATCACTGGGTAGATGAGTTCATATAAACTCTCCTGGCTTCACTATCTGCCACATTACCATTCCCATTAAATAAAAAAGCAGGGTTGATTGGAGGGGCTTTTTATTAGGTTAGTTTTAATTTAAATCAGTTCTATCAGTTGGGTAGACACTTGGCCATATGGATGCTTGTGCCAACACAAAAAGATGCCTGCAGTCATCCTCTGTAAGAAACAGAGGATGACTGCAGGCAGAGTCTTTAAAGCCAATGATGCAGATACTGCTTGTTGATCCACCATCAGTGCAAGCATTTCTGCTTCCTGAAGCTCACTCTCAAAGCCTTTGGCCCAAGCAGTTTCTCAAATAATGTAAAAGGGCATGCAAAAGACTTTCCAACAGTCCTATTAAAAGATGTATAAAGTGACCCATTCATCTTACTGAAAAAGTGTGTTTTAGAGAAGAATGAAGCTTTTTAATGCAAGTCAGAGTGGTAATAGTTCCATTTATCTGCTACAACTGAAAAATCCCAGTATCGCCATTTGCAAACTGGGGAGGAGACAGATTTGCCCTCACACTAATCTTAGTGACCCTCTGGCAGTAATGCAGATATTTGAGGAGGGAGAAGACCAAAAATCTGGTTTTTATTGGATTGATGCTCTTGCCATCATTACTTGGTTTTGATTTTTAAGCTGGAACGTTTTCATAATCTAATTTATATTAAGATTTCCAGGATCAGTTACATGGACATGTTGACTTGGTCTGGCCTTTCTGTTGAGGATCTATGTCTAAGAAAGGCTCTCCTCCCAAAGCACTGCAGTCCTATGGTAGTTCCCTACACATAACCATTTAGCACATGTTAGATGGTGACCCATGTTCCACGTCACTGGTCGATAAGTGTGTCAGGACTAAATATTGTGTGACTGTAATAAATGGAAAGCTGTGATCACAGACAGAAGAGCCACAGCAAAAGTTTAAGTAAATATAAAGATACACTGGAAGGATGAGTTAGATTAACTAATACTATTTCTGAAGGGACAGTTTTGAGAAATCCTTTGGCCTAGCAACATTCTATTTAGCCCGTTGTCACTACCCTGGGGATGCTGTCCAAAGGAGACAGATCATAACTCTAGGCAACCATAATTCTAAACCTCAGCATTCCTGGTAATTTTGTCTCTAAGCAAAAAGTTATGTGGAATTGTAACTACAACCACAGTGAAGAAAGGTTGTCTTGATACCACTTTATCTGTCTCAAATAAATTAGTTGTTATCTGTATAAATGGGAGTAGTGCACAAATATCAGATGATGCAAATGCTCCATCTTGCATCTGACATCTCTTTCCATCTTTGAGCAACAATAAATGAACAGCAGGGCAGAAGACAGCTTTCTGACAAAACATTTACAACAAGCGAGCTATGCTTTGCAGTCACAAAGCAGAATAGAAGAGGAATCCCACACAAAGGGAAGTCCACCTTCTTTGAACATTTGTTTGTCAGTTAAATCCTGCTCTCTGAAAAGTTTTCTGAGGGAAAAAGCCCTTTACTTGGAAAGTAAACACACTTGTGTTCTTTTTTTTCTGTCAGTTCTTGCTTCATGTCTACCACCTAGTGTTGACATGAACCATTTCCAAGTAGATGCAAGTGTGCTCTGCAATTTTCTGCTCTGACCTGCTAAGAATTCAGTGAGTTGTTTGCCTCAGTGCTTTTGTGTTGTTTTCACCTAAATATCAGCATTTAAAAACAGATATATATTCTTAAAAGGTCTGCTGATTTTAATGAATTAAAAGTTTTTATATTTTATCTTCTGAAAGGAGATAAAAGGTTTGTTTGGGTCATTGTACTGAATGACAGCAAGATTTGGAAAGATTTACATCTTTGTGCATCATGCAGAATTTAAAGTGGAGTTTGTAGTCTCTAGCAGTGCTAAGTGCTTCCCTCAAGTTAGTGTTTCTTCTAAAAGGAGAGGCACACTGCAACAAAAATAACTTTTCAGCTGTTCAGAGTTAGTCCTGGAACATCTGGAAACTTGCTGAGCTACTTCAACTCACACCGAAAAACCATTTAGGGTCTTTTCTTACTAGATGGGCTAATCTTGTTTGAGGTTAGGGAGATGAACTGGTTTATAGGGCATCCAGCAAGAACTGAATTACCCAGAGTAGCATGGAGAAAGGGAAATCTTGTTGGAATGAGTTATCAAGTCAAGTTCAGCCTTGCATTCATGAAACAGAGAAAGTAGAGCAAAACATGTAAGTTACCCATGTTATTTTCAGTACAGTTACTGGAAATAATTTAAATCATAATTTAATTGAACTAAACTTTTAAATGTACTGGTGCAAATTACAGTTGGGTCACACTTCACATGTGGAAGGAGTAACCTGTGCTTTTAGTAGTGTGGGAATGGTGAGGTCTTCAGCTGACTCAGCATGTTCTATAGGGATACCTGACTGCTGTGCTAGCAGGGGCAAACCTTGTCCTCCTTCCAAAGACAACACTTCTGAATGCAAGAATTACAATGCAACTTCAAGGATGTACCTTTGAACCAACCCATTGTAAAGAGAGAGAGAAGAAAGATTTTTAAACCAATGATGATACTAGTGTTGTTGGAAATTACAGTTTTAGTGCCAGTACTGCAAACCAAAGAAAGTTTATACTGAGAAATCAGTGTAAAATGAGAAAAGTGGTAGATAAGCATACACTGACAAAACTGTGTATCCATGTATAAATTAACATTATCAAAAAACTATTATTTTCTAGGGATCTCTCTCCTGACTTCTCAGAATTCTTTTAAAAATGCTACTCAAATGGCAGATTAAATCCACCTTGGTGGAAAGTATTTGCCTTCATAATGTCTCTTATAAAAGAATTGACTAGGCAATAATTAAGCATAGAGCAGGAAATAATGCATTATATCCAGTAATATTTTTATGTAAAATTTTATGAAGAGAGACTTAGATGGAATTTAGGCCTCTGTGTGTAAATAAACCTGGTGGCTGTTGCTGCTGCAATAAGGACTTGACTGTTTGACTTGAGTTGTGCCTCTGTATGTGCCCAGAACTGACCTGGCTTTGGCCGGGCTGTGTAGATCTCTGCCCAAACATGACTGAGATCCAGAAAGTTGTTTTGCTGGAATACACTGAAAGAAAAACCCTGCAAATGTAATACAGACCATAAAGTACTTACACAACCACAAAATGAAGTAGTGGCTAGTAGGATTTTGCAGAATGACAGTTATGATATGGCATTTGTCTCTTAGCATGTCATGCATGTCATTGTTCCCTGCATTTTTTCTGTGTTTTCTGTGGGTTACTGGACATAACAGACCCCCTGCCAAGTAAATTGCCCTGTACCTTGACCGAGGGTAAATGCTAGTTAAGGAATTAAGAGTTGTATTTTCCCCATCAGCCCTGCCTAACCAAAAAGTTCTCCTATGGCTTCTACTGTTAGGTTAATTGCAGAGGACTAACTTGTTAGGAAGACCATGGAGATGGCAATTGGAAATGAGGGGATGAAATTTCAACTGTACATGTTTTCTTTGATGAGTTAAAGTAGGCATAAATTCTGTGTACTTTCTTTCAATTAAGACTGTTCATTGTGGCATGTCAGTGAACCAAGATATATAGGCAGAGGTCATATTTTTTATTTGGCTAACTGACATCACCACTAAAAGCTCATAGTAAAGGATTATGATGGAAACTCACACCTTGCTTTAGTGTATGACTATATTAAAGGGAAACAAGCATGTACTCATCTGGGTAACCTACACTTAAGTGTTTCATTTCATGCTACCTGACAGAATCTATTTGCATGTTAATTTCATAGAAAGTTCATGAAACCAACCTGTTGTATGGCTGATGGATCAGTATACACCTGTGTTCTGTTGAGGTCTTGCATTTCTTCCTGCTTACAAAGCCTTTCAAACAGTAACTTTTTGCCTTCTGTTACTGTGTGCACTCTCTCTGTTAATAGTTTTTGGAAGTGGAGTATGGTGTTTTCAGAAGCATTTTTCTTAAGTGGAACAGGTGACACCTCTGTGGACAAAAGCAAAGTACGTGGTTAGAGTGTACAACTCAACTACTGACACTGAAGTTTAGCACATGCTGGATTTTCCTAAAGCTGTTCTTCTGATCTGCTTTTTGGCAGGCATTGCCTAGTGTTGTGTAAGGGATCATTGTATAATGGAGAGTAGGAATGCAGCAGACCCTGTAAAAATCACTTATATCTCACACTTTCAGTTTTGCCTAGCTACAGGCCTCTCCAAGAGGTACTTACATAATAGGCAATAAATGAAAGTCTATTCAATCACACAGAGTGATTAAATACAGAGTTAGTACAGTTTGTGGTGGTGAACGAAACAGGTTGAATTAAAAAACATAATGTTCAGATCATTTCTCATCATCTCTTTGTAGATATCATTTTAGCATTAAAAATAGTGGTGAGCTCCTTAAAACTAAGATTTTGTTCCTCATTGTTTGATTTTATTTAGGGCCTGTCAGTTTTGCAGGAAGAAAAATAAGCTGCTGCCTTCCCCATATCAGATCACATGCCACATATTTCTATCCTTCTCATAATTTTTCTCTCTCCATGGTTCTCTATTGACACAGCTGTCTTAACTCTTTGACACAGCTGTCTTAACCTGTTTTCTTGTGTACAACACATTAGACATGTTTACAGACACAGTAGTGTAATATGAGGAAATCACATCCATGACTGCCTGTCCCTACTTTCCCTTAAGCAACATAGTTCAGACCTCTTGTTTTTTAAATACTGCATTTTCTTTGCATATGATTCTTATAAATCAAGTAAGTTTTTCCTGATATTTACCTCATTTATACCAGGGATGAGGACTGAAATAAATAAATAAATTGCAATTTTCCTTAGGCCTACATTTTTATCAGAACTCTTCTTTTGCTGATTGTTGTGGGTGAGAGGAGAATGTTGGTTTGGAGCTTGGTGTTAAGTGCTAGGATTATGTTTTTTTAACCATTTGAATACTGGATATAAGAATCGGTCATCCAATTCAACATCAGTGTAGAGATGTTTTTAAAAGTCAGGGGCTCTTACCATCATTCCATGTTTTTCTCTTGGTACTCAAAGATCCTGTGTTTGCTGTAGCATCTCCCACTGAAACTTAGAAGAGAAGAACAAGGTGACTAAGCCTTTTGTCGAGATTCTCAAGGCACAGTCAGTCACACACCAAAAGGTTTTATATTACAAAAGCAAATACCCTAGGACAAGACACATTTATTTGGCAGATGCCTCAAGCAGATTAATAACTGAAGCTTCTTTTCTGAAAGATTATTGCTTTACTGGCCACTGCATCAGCATTCACAGATTACACAGTCCTTTTCCATCATGCTAAAATGTAAATCAGCTCAGTTGGTTGTTGGTGTTGACATATCCCATTCATGGAGAGTAGAAACAAGCAGCGATATATTCAGTTTCTGTATTTGGAAGAAAATACATGTATTGAGAATGTGATCTAGCACAAGACTGAGGCAGGGGAGAACTGTCATCCCACAGCTTTATGGCTGTCATTCTAGCTGCAACTAATGCACTACTGGGTGGTGCCCTTGGATAGCACATTAGGGCTCTGATTCATGACTGACTGAGGACAGCTGGCTTGAGCCTGGTTCCAGCAGTTTCTGCTCAAGCCGTCCACCTGGCCTTGGCTGCAGAAACGGTTGAAGTCCCCTACTAACATTTGTGCTGTTGCAAACTATTTAACTTATTGAGAACAATCACAACTAGTTCTGCTTTACCTTAAGTCACTGAACCCTAAGTTGCAGAGTTTCAGTTATTTCTTCTATGAGAGAACAATCTGCCTGGAGCAGGGGCAGGTGCCCCTGAGGTTTGAAGCAGTTGGCCAGTCACAGGAACCCTTACAGCAGACACAAGATTAGCTGTGTGGTTCCTAGATCAAAGGATTTTTGATACAAAGATAGAGGCAGACTCTGTTGTGAAAATTGAATCTGCTTTAGCAAAATTAATACAATTATTACAAGTGCTCAAATAATCACTGTCCTGGATTTTTTCTCTCTCTCCAATGCAGAGTGTATTGAATTAATATACTTTAGGGTTTTTGGAGTCCTCGAACTTGGCTTGATTGCTACTGATTTCTGCCGTTCCAAACAGTATGAGCTTGCATCTGTCTATCCATCAGACTTTAAGTGCCTGCTGTATGACCTCTAAAACCTGCCATGTGTTCTAGCACCATTTCACTGTATGTCACTTAGGCTTTCAAAAGCAGATTCTCCAATAACACTGAATGCTTCAGTGCTTTCACTTTTTGCTAATATTCTCACTTCTACATGTCTCCACAGACCACTTGAGTTTCCTGAGTGTTCACTATGTGACCATGCAGATAGAGCTTCCCCAGTTATTTTCCCTCCCCATTTCTGGCCACACATTTTGCACCTACAGCATGGCTCAAACAGGCGATGTCAGAAAGTTCACTTGAAACACTTTATCTCATCACTGAAGTTTTTAGTACCTGATAGGAGACTTGAGCTTTCACATCCCCAGCCTGAGGTTCCCAGAGGCTGCCTTCTTAAGATACAGTCAACTTCATCATAAAATCTCATTTTTCTCCTGGGATTTCCAAGATGCTCATTTTCTTTCTGCAGTGCACGGTATTCATATTTTAGGTTCTTGTACTTTGTGCGACATTGTTTCCAGTCTCTGTCTATGCCACGTTTCATTAATCTTCTGGCAATTTCCTCAAATATTTCTTTATTTCTTGTGGCCCCTTCAAGCATTTGTTGTATCTTTTCATCCGACCATATGTTTATCAGAGCCCTAACTTCATTATCACTCCAGTGTTTTCCTGCTCCAGTATCATTAACTGTAATAACTTTAAAGTGATTTTGTGCTTCTTCCAAGGGAATGTGATTGTCTGAAAATATAAATAAAAAAACCTTAACTGTAAATGCTATAATGCATGCTAAATATACATATATGAAAGCATAATTGCAACTGATAATCAGTTAATGATTAATATTTTATATATTTTAATCTTTTATATCTTCATATTTTTTATATTTTAGAATTTTAATGTCCATACACAATTCTTTTCCCTTAAGTATGCAACATATGTAGCAAGTGGAATCTCTTGTTTCTCCAAGGCATCTAAAATTCAACATTTTGTTGCTATAATTGTGCCACTGTTGTGAAATTAAAGACATATATCCAAGTGTTACATGTAGAAAAGTAGTAATCATGAAGCTTTAAAGATCTCAGCATTGGTGAGAAGTGTGGTTTCAAATTAAAATGGCAATGTGCAAATGAAAAGGCTGCTTGGAATTCAACAGAAGAAGAAAAATCTTCAGACTTGAAAATAATCAGAAGTAGGCAGATGCTGCTCATTAGATTATGTATAGAAGGCAAAGTTGAACTACAGTATTAATACAAATTTTGCTCATGAAAGGGAAAGATCTATGAAACAAATTTTTAAGTTTACTAATAAAGCTAGAATGGAATCAGAATCAGAAAAGTAGAGCTGTGTTTACAGTAGAGATGTGATTGCTCCAGCTTTGGTACTGAAAATACAATGTGATTTATTTCATAATAAATGCATGAAAATTATTACTCACCTGTCCCAACCATCTGTTTTGCTACTGGCGTACAAGATCTGTCTTCTGAGGTAGTGCTTATAGAATCATCATCTATAGAAACAGTTTTAAATAGACTTGGATTTAGACAAATAAATTGCTATTATTATTGTCATCCTCTTTAGGAAACACCTCTTTCCACCTTAAAGTGTCCTAAGCCCTCCGTCTAACCCTTTAGTTATAGACTTGAAGAATCACAGAATCATGGAATCATTTAGGATGGAAGCACTAATCATTTAGGATGGAGTTAACATTGCCAAGTCCACCAATAAGCCATGTCCTAAGTGCCACATCTACATGTCATTTAAATCCCTCCAGGGACAGTGACTCCACCACTGCTCAAGTCCAAGGTGACAGTTCTGCTGAGCTCCCTTCTTACTTCACCAAGAACTGAAAACACTGCCATTTTGTGATTGCTATTGCCAAGAGGCTCCAGCCACCCCCAGTCCTCTATTCACAAACACCAGGTCCAGTGAGTACCTCCCCTAGCTGGCTCCTTCACCAGCTGCGTCAGGAGTTGTCAGCCACACACTCCAGGAACCTTCCTAGGCTGTGTCCTCTGCTGTGTTGTATTTCCAGCAGACTTCTGGTCAGCTGAAGTCCTCCCCCAGGGGCCAGTGACTGGGAGACTTCTCCCAGCTGCTTGTGAAATATTTCTGCTGCCTCTTTGCCCAGGTTGGGTGGTCAAACACAGACTCCCACCAGGATACCTGCCTTGTTGCCTTCTCCTGATTCTTACCCATACGTCCTCAACCCTATTTGTCACCATCATGAGCTCTAGATGATCAAAACACTCTCTAACATACAGAGTACCCCACAGTCTCTCCTTTCTTGCCTCTCCCTTCTGCAATTTATAGCCATCCATTGCAGCACTCCAGCTGTGCAAGTCATCCCTCTGTGTCTTCAAGATGGAAACTGATACAGTTTTCCTGCTACACAATGGCTTCCAGCTTGTCCTGTTTGTTGCCCATGCTGTCTGCACTGGTGTGGATCAACCACAGGTGGGCTTTTGTTCCCACCATCTTTTGGGGATGAAAAGGTCTAATTTCTATATGGCCATTCTCAGATGCTCCTGTGGTTTGTAACACATCAGTAACTCCTGTATGTCTTTCCTGATCTCCATTCCCTGACTACTAAGATAGCAGATCAAAGGACCTCTCTAGAACACCACCCCTCCCACCCATCAAACATTGGCATGTTGCCCCCAGGCTCTCTAGTTAAAGTCTGGTGTTATCTCTTCCCACCTGCAAATTTAGTTTAAAGCTCTTTCAATGAGTTCTGCTAACTTCTGTGTTAAGATCCTTTTCCTCCCTTTGAGATAGGTGCCAACAAGTCTGGTATCTGGAACCATGACTGAAAATTCCAGTATTTTCCCAGTGTCAACAAGCTTGGAGACAGATAGTGATCTGCTGGTTCTTCCTGTTTTTTTCCCACATCATTCATTGCAACTGGAAGAAGAGAAGGCTACTTGTGCTCTCGATCCTTCAACCAGTTGTTCCAATGCCCTGAAGTCTCTTTATTTGCAACTTCATTGTTGCCTACTGAGAAATTATTGAAATTGTCTATGAACATCAAAACCCTGCTTTGCTGATTCTGTGTTCATTTGCTCATGCTTGAACTATTCTGAGGCTGAAAGTTCACTTCTGTGTGGACTTACATTTTGAGTTGGGAGGAAGAGAAAGATTAGTTCTGATTGTTTGCTAGGGGATGTCATAGACTAATTATGTTCAATACCAGTTTTAGTAAAGAGTAGAAATAAATATTTCTTTGATGTTTTGAACAGCTGAGTGCTTACTTAGGCTCTGTCAGAAATAAAGATTCTTTGTAAATAAGCATGTTCATTTGATGTGCTTTCTATAATGGTAGTTGCCAATATATGCACAAACTAGTACTTGGAATTCATATTTGCTCTATAACTTGTTTTCTCTTCAGTCATTTGGCCAACACTTGTTTTTCACAAGCTGTGTGCAAGCATATATTTTGTACCTGTGGAAAACTTGGAAATCATACTCTCATCAGCATGTGTATGTGATTTACTTGGGATACTAGAAAAAAAGTGGGTTTTCTCATAAACAGGCACCCTATAACTTTTGAGAAAACTCTTGCATATTCCTTAACACTTGCAGCTATTGGAAATGGGCTAAAACAGAGCTGTAGGTCTACTCGTAGGCTCCTGAGAGATTCCTTTTTTTCAAACCCTTAACCAACCTCCCCATGGCTTCCATTTCTGTGCTCATTCTGTCAACCATACTGGCTCTCTGGTCTCTTCCTGTCTTTGGCAGTGGCACTGGTGTAGTGCTGACTTGCATGATCACTGTGATCAGTTGGATATTACATGATAGCGAGTTTCTGTGTATGAGGCAATCAGTTGAGCTACATGACATTTTATTCTTCACTCTGCATTCATGTGACCTTGCTGTGTCTCAACTTTCAGGGTCACAGATTTACTTTATCCTCGGTGTCACCTGTGTTCCTGTGTGTCATTGTTATGATGGCATTGCTCTGATGTTGTCCTCAGTGTCACAGTCACTACAGTTGTCTTTCACGATCAAGATCAGCCAATGCAAACAGTTGTAAAGGGTGTCTAACATAGGATGTCTCAACAGCCAAACTACAGATAACATAATTGTTGAAAAGGGAGCTCTTGCTTGGAATATGCCTGATGCATACAATAGAAATATTCTTATGGTAGAAACTTTCAGTGTCAAAGGCCAAAGAATTGCTGTTCACACAATCACTAAAATTGGGGGTTTTTCTATTAACTTCTGCATACAAACAGCATTACTGTAACGAATATTTTGATCCAGGGTGTCAGGCCACTCTATTTCAATGCTATCTTTATTTCCCCTGATGTCTTTTTTTCATTATCATCTATGGTCTTATGCTCATTTATTCCAGAATATTAGTATCCCTACTGTGTTCTAATGTTAAATTTTAACATTTTAAACAAATCTTCTCCTGATCACTTATCATTGAATATATGACTTCTACATATTGCTGAGGTGCTGATTTCAGTTTTATATTTAAAATAGTTCAGAATATATTTATGGAAATTGCTTGCTAGTAAATCATCTGATACTAAATGCAGTCATTAAGTAGTTTGAAAATACAGACAATGTATAAAATGTTCTGAGTTTCTGAGACAGCCATTTACCTTTCCATTTTATCCTCTCTAGCAACTGTGTAAGAGAAACCATAGTTGTGTCACAATCAATTGCAGACTAATCATACTCATCATAAAAGGGAGCATGTTGTCTGGGAAAATAAGATTTTGTTATAATTATGGGAAGGGGAAATAAGTGTTCATACATTTCTGCACTATGAAATCAAACAAAACCCATAATTTATCATAACCTAGAGGTAGAACAAGTGTAATTTGCTGGAATAACATATGAATCTTTGGAATCTGCAATGCCAGTAAAGTAGAATGTCCTGTTAAAACTATCCTGACAAAGTCCTGACCTACCTATATCAATTGTCTCCTTCTTTATTTGTGTAGCTTCCAGAGCTGCTGGGGTGGAGTTGGCTAAGTCCCCCTCATCTTCAAGGATTTCTGTAAAAAATAATAATTTACAGAGTTCTTATTAACTAAACACGTCTTGAGTGATGTCTTGAGAATCAACTACTCAGAATGCTGCTGATAACTTCTGTTAAAGATTTCCTCTCTTAATACATTAAAGCTGCCATTTATCTGCTGTAATAGGCTTAAGAACAGAGTGTTCCTGCTTATAAAGTAAGTCCAGAACATCACATAACAGCTGCAGTAGATAAGTTTATGGGTTACGTGTGCAAACTCTTAAGTTATTTTAACCTGGATCTGGATTTGTAGAATGGTTCACTGATGGTGGGTGTAAGATATCTAGTTACTGATAAATGTTCCTGCAGCAGAACAGGCAAGACAGTGACTTGCATAAAAGGTGCAATATTTACTGAAATTATTGAAAGACTCCCAAGTGACTGATGCAAAGAGTGTTTGAATTAGCCCCAAAAAGGAGCAAGGGACCCAGACACATCAGGGTGCTGTGCTTAGACAATTGATCTGTAAGGCTGCTTGCGTGATGGAGACAATGTACTAAAGCCTGTCCTGAGAGCATCGCTGCTGCTGCAGCTTGCAGGGGTTTACATCACACAGCTGGGTGACAGAGGTGTCCCTGGGCTCCCCTCCATGGGGAGGAGATCTCCACTCCTCTGCCATTGGCCCTCTGGTGTTAAGGGAAAATTCCACCCCTCTGCCCTAGGACAGAGGTATGGGCAGGTGGATGATGCAACTGGTCTTGCTGATCCTCGCTTCCCAGTGAGGACACTGCTCTACAGAGATTACACGGTGAAGGCCACATCATGGATCAATGACAGCAATTTTCTGGCTCCCAGCCTGTTCTCAGTCCAGTCAAGAATATTGCCCCTAAACATTGAGCAATAAAGTTTAATCTAGAGCCATTTTATTAAAAATTACCCCCAGATCAATACAGCTTTGTTTGCATCAGATGTTCTTTATGATGAGACTAGCATCACATGCTTTTTTTTTTTGCCTTTTTTTTTTTTTTTGTGAGCCAAGAATGTGGGTAGGGAGCCTGGCTTTTTTTCCAAGGCACCTTTCAGAGTTTTGGAGAGAGGGCACAAAAAGAGTAAGACTGAGCCAAACAGAACAAGCCATCAAAAGTTTTTGGCATGGATAAAACACAGTGGCTCCATCTGAATTGTTAGTGAAGCTATAGACAGTTGCCAGCAAATATGCTTAATCTCTACTTTGTGTTTAAGCAGTGCTCACAAGGCCACCCGAGCAATGCTGTCACAGTCTTTCCTTTCACCCACTCAGACTGATACAAGCTCTGTTCTCTTTTGGCACTCTGTCAGCATCACTAATTATCTTGTTTTCTGGCTCATGAGGCAAGATTAGTAATTTGTCTCCTAATCCTTACTCTCATGTGTGTCTTGAATAGTTTAAAAGGGAATTGGGATATGTTAAAACTAGGGAAAATTTTTAGTGTGTGGCTTATGTTTACACTCCAGCAACTTGCAAAGTTGCTGCTCTGTCATACAGACCTATGAGAGTGGATGCAGAAAACTGTGGGTGCTCAGTTAAGAGTTTATGTCTGCAGCCCAAATATGCCTCGGCTAAGGCAGTGAATAATCAAGAACTTTGGGGTTTGCACTTCTCTGAAACACTGCCTAACACTAGCCTGGAGCACATGTATGTAAACATTATCTTTTGACTTTATATCTGTACATTTTAAAATTCCTTGCACACAGCAGCAAGTGTTCAAGCCAATGTTAAGTGCCTGAGTATGTACCAACTTAAAATCTTAACTTTAAACAACAGGTTTTTAAAAAGCCCTTGCTTAGGAGTGTATCTTGGAAGTGTCACTACATCAAATTTGTTCTGAGAGGGACATATAGTAAAGTGTAGGGGGTATCAAAAATGCTAAGAAAATAAAGATAAGGAAAGGAATTTGTTTGACATAAAATACTTGTAGGTATTTTTAAGAACATTAGGCTAGTGGTATTTCTTAGAAACCTGTTTTCATCTCCACTGTTGTTCCCTAGCACTTCAAATTTAATCAAACCTATACATCCACTCTGTGGTCATACTAAGTCTGACGCACGTGGAATGTACATGGAGTTTGGATTGACAAGACTGCATAGATGGAAGTAATTGGCTCGTCTGAACAGATTTGTTACTTTTAGGAACAACTAAAAGTGATTCCACGAAATTGAAAACATAGTGAAAATGACTAAATAAGGTTTTATTTGCAGATCGATTCAATGTGGGGTATGTTTTACCAAAAGAGAGAGCAACCTGCAGTGTCCCTAGCCTATCACAGGACGCTTTAGCTGAAAACCCAGGGCTGGAGACTGTTGTGGTCCTTCTGCTCCCCCAGCTGGGCAGTGCTGACAGCGGCGTCAGGAACCAGGACAGGCTGTGCAAGGAGCTGGGAGAGTTTATTTACATTTATGGGCATTCTCAGGTGGGCATTTGCTGCTCTTTGAGTAACAAATTCATATGGGCAGAGGAGAAAAACAATGCCATGGCACATCAAATAACTAATTACTCTTCTTAAATTGGTGCATTTGTCTTTTGATTAACACCACCTTAGTATTTTTCTTACTAGAGTATGACAAACCCAAATGGGCTGTTTATAAAGACTGGCAGTGGTGACAGTGTTACTGTGGCTCCTAACTCAGATTCACCTGTAAGATCATGAGAAGCACGTTCACTCTGAAGCAGCTCCTGCATCTTCTGTGCATTTACACGGCTGCCAGAAGGCAATGCCTGCCCAGGCTAACTCATTTATATGTGTATGTATATGGGCAAGTGCATATACAGCTCTGGCTGCAGAGTACATTAACTGATAAGGAAGATACCCAAATATGAGTTTAACAGAATTTCTGAGTTCTCATTTATGCCAAATTGAGGTTTTCCACATTTTTTTTTCAAGGCACACAAATACCTATAAATTTAATAATTCCATGCCTGTTGAGAAACACTTTTCTACAAAAGTTCTGTTGAATATGCAGAAGCTTTTTTAAAAAGTGACATCCTAAATGCCAATGATTGTGAGACATTACTCATATCAAACAACCAATGTAATGTATCAGTGCCTTTTCACTATTTATCAGTGTGTATATTTATGAGTACAGAGCTACATACAATCTCTTTACTTACCAGTTTCTCACTTCAAAATTACTTGGACTGTCTAGGAAAACCATGTACCACAATTAATGAACAAAGAGTCTCCATGATGTTGTAACATAAAAAATGTGCATCTTTTCTCTGTTTTATGCAATACCTATTTATGTCACCATTAATAAAACTAAAGACTAGGTGTATTTTACCATCTGCAAAAAAAGTATTTGAGTGTGTATTGTTTGTTTTGGAATGAGGGAAAGAATTTTGCAAACTGAACTCTTTTGTTGGTTTTGCCTTGGAGTGTGGCTTTGCATTCCCCCACAGAAGTTTGAAAAATAGTCTTAAGAGTGGAAATGCTGAGCCACAGACACTTTTGAACCACTTACTATTTTAATTTTTCCCCACAAAATCATATTTCATTTACAATTACCCAGAAACAAACTATGAAATGAAAATACAAGTATTTGAAAAGGGAGATGGTAACCAAGGTAAACTACAGATATCTTTACACCTACACTTATCTTAAATGACAGAAATTTGTACTCAGGATTTTACTGGCTATTCATTTTAAATAGCTTGTTTGGAAGAGTGCAGTCCAACTTACAATTTTACGTAGCACCAGTAAGGTGAAAACTGTCAGACAACAGTTAAGGAGCACTGCTGAATCATTGCATTATTACAGTGTCTTGCTACTGTCCGTGTGTGTGTAGTATTGTACTTGTCAATGGGTAGAAATTGAATTAAATATATTTTTAAGTAGTCTTAACTGGATCCCACAAAATGCTGTTTATTTCTTTCATATTTGTCTCTCTGAAAATGAGGTCCCTATAGGCAATGCACTTTTCATGACAACCTCTTTTTCTCCATGGAATGCATCAAGTGCCCGTGGTGAGCTGGTAAAAGGTCGCTTATTTGTTAGTAAATTTAAATTTAATAATGTAATTGCTATTGAATGAAAAAAGCCAAAAATGTTAATCTCTGGTATACCTTAAATTACAATCATCTCTTTACTTACTTCTCATATTTGTTTCTTTGGTTATATGCAGAGCTGCCTGACTCTCTGGAGTAGTGTTTACAGTAACATCATCTGTCAGAAGATTTTTAATTTGATATTAAAATCTTACAAGTTTACATTAGACCATTTAAAATTCTGTAAGACTACTCCTTAATGCTTAATTTAGACCATGTTCTGCCTCACACTACTGAAAGAGAACATGAGGTGCTCTGTAGTGGAAAATAAAACTTGTCGGCCTGAGAGACTTTCATGTGTCTCCAGCTGAATGTTAAACTTCTGCTTCCCCTGAAATTTGTTTTCAGATGTAAACCATAATATTTCTTTGTGAAGAGCAGAGCATATGACCTTGATATTCAGTGAGACTCCTTAGTGAAGTTTTCATCCCCTGACATGAGCATTTACACAATTATATCCTAATCACGTATTGTGAAAAAGAGATTCTGTATTAGTTCATGCCCAGGAGACTGAAAAATTCCAATCCTTAGGAATAACATAGTTTAAGTAAGTGTACTGTAATGCAGTAGGACATTGTACTCAACTTGCTTAAACTTGTTTCTTCTCTACATTCTGCGTCACAAGTCTCTGAAATGATTACTTACAGGACTGATTTTATCAAATTTAGCACGCCATTGTAGATGTGTGCGCAAGTACGTGATGGTTATCTCTGTGACATTATCTCTTGCTTTTAAGTTTTTTAGGTCTCTGAATTTTCTACCATTAATTACAATTTGGGCTTATTTTAGGAATTAATTTTAATTTACTAAATTTAGGTATTTATATAAAATAGAAGCCTTTTCAGATTACCTGAATCAGAAACTTTCTTTGTATCTGCAACCTGTAGGTCTTCTGACGTATTACTAACAGAGTCCTCTTCACCTGTGTCTCCAGGCATTTCTGTGTAAATAATGCTAAATTAATTATGGCACTGAATTTCTCTACTTTATAAGAACACCTGTGATGTATCAAATTAAAAAGTCCATCCTGCCTCGGATGCTCTTTACTTCAGCAGGCAAAGTAGATGCATTAGCAAAACATGTAGAAATGGCAACTGAAGAGTGAATCCTCCCCCAAAACATTCTCACAGTTTTCAGCCAGACTGTCTTTGTGTAATATTTTTCTTGACTTCTCCCATTACTTTATTAACTTCTGGTCTTACATTTGGCCAACATAGTATCATCCCCTCATCTCAACTAAAAGTTTAATGTTTAATTCTGTTCTTAAACAACAAGCATGTTTCTGGTTGTACCTACCAATAAAAGTGTTTTAACTTTTGGGTAGTGTAGGTTCATCAGTCTACTCTAATTCTGCACTGATCATCCATTACCATTGTCAATAACCACCCAAAACCAAAGGCAGACTCTGCCAGCATTCTTAGTGCTGTTCCTTTTGCTATTTTCACTATTGTCTCACCTGTTTGGGAGTCTTGCTCCAAAGCCCAACCAAACTGAGCTATTTGGGACCATAAGAGAAAGACAATTTAGATGTTAATTTTTTTAACCAATGTCTGTTACTACAGATTTCTTTTGCTCAATGTCTTAATTTTTCCAGTAACATAGTCTGACTATCTCTCTGATCCATTTCTGTTATCTAAACTGGAAACAGTGTCTTCTGACATGACTGACTGGAATTGTCTCTCTGTATCATTTTATCCTATGTCTTAATCTTTTTTTTTTCCTCTTTTTGCTTCTCAGTTCTATTTTAAAAGTACAGAGAAATCACTCAATCTGAAATATTACCTTATAACAAAAGACAAAACTACTGGACAAAATAGTACGTTTCTATTTAGTGTTTTTCCACACCAGCCAATTGGTTAATCTCTCTGTTTGTGCTTTTTGAGTTTTTTTTTAAGATCTCTCTAGTGCTGGAAAACTAAAAATGTTAAATGATATGTGGGTAGTTGAAGTACTTACCTACGGAATCCTTTTCTGATTTTGCTTCTGTCCATTCTGGAGGCCTCTCACTTTCATAATTATCTGATTTACTTGTTGGTTCCATTGTGCAGTGCCCCAGAATAGCATCCAGTTCATTAAAAAATTTCATACTTTTACTTGTACTCCCTGAGTCTTGGGCACTTTTTACACTCTTGTATTCATGTTTCAGATTTTTGTATTTTGTCCTGCACTGCTTCCAGTCCCTGTCAATTCCAAACTTTTGCAGTCTAGCAGCAACCTGCTCAAATATTCTTTTATTTCTCACTGTCCCCTCCAGTTGTTGCTGGATATTTTTGTCTGACCATATGCGTATCAAAGCTCTGACTTCATTGACAGTCCAGTGTTTTCCTCCTTCATTTGCCACTGTGGGAATGAAAGCCGCTGCTTTGGAAGCCTCTACTGCTGACGCTGGATTACCTGCATTGTGTGAGGGAGGGGAGAGACAGACATTTGTTACGTGCATTGGGGGGTTGGGGTGGGGAAAGGACAGAGAGAATGGGAGTGAAGGATGCTGTTTAAAGACAGAGCAGAGGTGACATTAAAATCAAGCTATTGGTTATTAATTTGTCAGCATTTTTGTTAATTCTGATATAATTTTTGCTTTCACTTGAAGACAGATACTAAGATAGCACATGTACATTTAATTAATCTAAGAGGAACATTTCTTTCTTCTGTGTCCTGATACACTAAATTTTTACCTGTAAGACCTTTGGGAACATCTGATGATCTGCTTTGTCCTTCAGACATTAGAGAGGAGAAGAGAACTGTTGGGAAGATGGGATGTGCTGCATGAGCACAATAACAAATTGGCCCCGAGTCACTGACACTAGCATCCAGACTTAACACTCTGCATTCATGCCATACCTTAGCTTTTACACACATGGAGGGATTTAACCTGGGTAAGGATCTAAAGAATCTGATCCTTCTTTCTTAACAAAACACCCGAGTTGTGGGAAGCAGAGGAATGGAGACTTTTGCTTAAGTAAAACATTTGTGGGCTAGAACCCAGTTCTCATGGCACAGAACCTGCATCTTTCTCAGGGCAGATCAATCAAAAATATTTGGGTTTTTTTAGTAAAAATCAGTGTGAGTTGTCTTAGTCTGCATAACTAAGATATTTTTCCATTTTCTCCAGTCTACTTTATTTTTGAACATTATGAGGCCACCCATGCAATAACTTAAAACACTGAAATATTATATATTTTAGTTTTTTAATGTTTCGTTGTTTCTATTTATGAATTTTCTTTAAGACTTTGTTTTGGTTATAAGATTAGTTTGGAAAGGGTTTTCTCATGCATTTTCTAAAGCTTTGAAAAAATAACTAAAAAACCCCAAATAAACCCAAAACTCTTTCCAGGGCATGATCACATGAAGCAGCATGAAAATGCACAGTAACTGACAGGTTTTTACAGTCATACTGCAGTGTCCTTTTATCAGTGTCCTTTTTTGGAAGAGCAAACCAGATGATGGGGTTTGATACTTTATAGCCACTGAGATGTGTGATGGCAATAGTATCAGACCCTTGATTGTGCACAGAGCTTCAGTGGAGCACATTTATAACAACCTGTCTGGGGACAAACTTGTCCTAGATAAAGCCATTCTTCGCTAGTCTCCATAATTCATTCTAGTTGTCAATAAGTTGTTGTAACAGATATATTTTTTTTCCTTATAGTCCTGGGTTAATCAGGACTCTGCAGCAGCCAGCTCGTAGGCAGTGTAGTTGAGAAGGGTAATTTTCAGGTGGCACATCAATTATGCTTTCTCCATTTCTTCCTGAGGGAGTGAAATAAAATGCTGATTTACTGGTGAATCAAACCATAGGAACTGCCACAGATGATAACTGCTGACATCAGATAGGCCAGAGAGGAAAGGCCTAGGGAAGATGACAAGACAAAGAGTGCAAGGAGGTGCTCTCTACACTTCCCAGCCAAAGCCATAGAGCACGGGGGCATCTGGGAGGAATGAAGGTTCTTTACTCTTTGTATAGGCCAGTATTTCTCACTAGTCAGTTCATTTCCAACTGAGCTCACTTTTGGTTGTGGATATTAGTTCAAATGAGTTCTGGTGACTTGGTGTATTGCTCGCTTATTCTGCTGTGTGCAAAGTGAAAAATAGTGTGTTGTTTGTTTCTCATTCCATGTAAAAAACATTTTGATTCAAAATATCCTGCCTACAAGAACTGCTTTGAAACAAAGTTGTTGTGGGCAGTGCAAAAATTTTCCTAATATCTTAAAAGCATTTTAATTTGTTTTTTAAAAAATGTTTAAGCAGGATATACATTGGTTTTTTTATCTGAAAGATGCATTTATTCCATATTTAATCTTCTTCTAAACTTCCTCAAACCTGAAAAATCTGCTGAAATAAAACTAAAATATTAGGCATTATAGATACAAAGGGGTCAACATTTTTCTTTCAGTGGTTTCTGAGATAGTGCCTGAATCTTACAGACTAGAGGAGGTACTGGGGGAGGGCATTTTAGTACTAGTACATACTTGAGAGCCCATGCAATTGAAGTTATTTTGCTGACTTTGTGAAAGCAGCTTCCTTAGAATTGAAGGTTTTTCTGCTTGGCAGTGTGCTGAGCGCTGAGAAATAAAAACATGTTCCTGTAAAATTTGATCCAGACACTTTCTGCATGTTTTGTTCATATGCATGAAGTATTTTATATGTGCATAAATTCCATGTGACATTAAGGTCTCTTCCTTAATTTCTTTCTGTGCCAGGCAGGAGGAGTGTAATGTGTAACATTATAGCCACAGGCTTAGCCTGTGCCTTGTTTTCTTCCTAAATATGGCACCTTGCAGATTTTGTAATGGAAATTGTTGTAACTGGGCTGAAATGTATACTAAGGCATAGAGGGTATATAAAAAATAGAAAGAGCATGTAGGAAATTCAGGACAACTGCTGTTCATCCAGGCAATGTATCAGCACATCAGTTGCTTCAATCTGCCTAAAATGTGTTTGTTTCTCCATTTCCTGTAGCTTCCCCTTGAAGGGGCTCACACCTAGGATGCTCTTCCTCTTGCCATATTTATGCCCTTGCTTTTGTAACTTTGCTGAGCAAAACTACTAGAGTAGGACGTTTTCTAAATGAGTTCTGTGGTTGGACTAAAGCATTGCTGACCACTCCTTGCTTGGAGAGGTGATTTTGAAGTTATGCTGGAGACCACTGCAAGTCTGGATTGCTCTGCATCTCTCTCTGGGCTCAGACCACTCACCCATGCTGCTTGAAGTATCCATGATTTAAGAAAATGAGCTAGGGAAAAGCCACAAGCGGACATGGGTACCTCTCTAGCATTTGCCATACTTTACACTGGCATTTAACAAAATTATTGTGGTTACTGCAGTTTATCATGATTAAGCTATAGCATGGGATGTGTTTTGCATGCAAATGGGGTCATGCAGGTGTTACATCATATACAGTGGTCAGTGTCTAGTGATGCACAACACTGCTGAGTGCTCTGGCACGGGGATGGTGCCAGAGTGTGGCTGCCTTGAAGCTATACTGATCAGAAACACAATGACAGTGCTTTCAGGCTATCAGGAAGTGCTCTGACACCCATGCTGATTTTAGTTTTTGATCTCTCTGTACCATCATACTATACCTAGTTGAACTGGTCTGGCATGAGATATAAAAAGTAGTGGATCTCCTGGAGCATCCTCATCATCTTCTAAAGAAACTGGTATTTCACCTGGGAAAGAAAGAGTTTTTAGATGAAAAATAGGTACGGACTAAATTAGAAGTTTAAATTTAAATGTCCATACACTATGAGAAGATCTTTAACTTGGAAATCTCGACACTTAATTTGTAGTTAAATTAAATTTTAAATTAATTTAGCTGTCCCTATGAGTTATAGGAGGCAAATCATTTTATGTCTTATATATGAAGCCTGTTTGAAATGCTTTTAAAAATTCTGGTTGAAACTGACTTGATTCTAGTGACTTGTATGCTCTTCTGACTCAGTATTCAGGGTAAATAATAATGTAAAGTAAGAGACATACAAATAAAAGCAGACTTTGCAGACAGATTCATAAAATCACAAATCCATTTATGTAACAAAATTAAATTCCTAGAAGAGTGTGAAGAAAATCAGGATGTTCTGCAAAGAGCTCTGGAAATCAATGGAATTCATTAAGAGTATGGGGAGAGAACCCATATTCATTGTGACTTGACAGCAGGCATATTTGTAGCTGACAGGATTAAGTCTAGCCTTTTCCAGCATAGCTTTTCTACATTTGTTTAAAAGGGAGCATTATAGCAATTGCTATGTAAGTATAAAAAGCAGCATATGTGCGTCAGGTTCTGAACCAGCTAGATTTTCACAGAGTACAGACTTGTAAGTTGTCCTGTGTGCTGTTTTCTACATACCACGTTGACAGGAGGTTTGAAATGTTGCTTCCTTGTGCGGGAGCTGAGCTTCTGTGAGCTCCAGCCAGGCAGGGCACCCAGATCAAAGCTCGCAGCTCTGCGGTAGATCGTCACGGGGAGCAGTAATGAGGTGTGGTTAGGATGCAACCTCCTACCCTGACGTCGGAAAATGCGTTTGAAACCATTATCCTAAACGCTCCTGACTTTCAGCAAGGCTCACTATGACTCATAGATGAGTGGCCTGGTCTCTGACTGCTCCCAGCTGCCTGCCTGCCTTCCCTGGCAGGAGATGCTGCTTATACCCACAGCGACAGGACTGGCATTTCAGCTGCTTAAGAGCAGCAAAGCAAACCAGGGAGAGGAGAATGAATTCTCTCCTGGAAGGCTTCTGAGTGTGCCATAGGCACTAGCATGCACAAGGTTAATTACATTGTTACATTAAAAGAGAAACTTCTTTTATTTTTAGTAAGAACAGTTACCACAAAAAGATATTACTATACCACAAAAGCTACTCAAAAAAATTATTGCACACTTGTTTAAAAAAACTATATAAAATACTGTCAATGACATGTTAAAAAGTGCAGATATGGAAAACCATGTATAAGTGGCACTTTTATGTCAGCATTTCTGAAAGATCTTCCTGCATTTTAGTAGCTGAGTTCGCTGCCAGTCATTGCTGATGCATTTCTGCTGAGCTATAATCTTTCTGCATTTGCTGAGGTAAAGTGAAGGTCAAGCAAGGTGACCAGTGCCTTAATATTTAAACATAAAGAAAGAAATATAAAAAGTGTAAATTACTTTAGTAACTAGGCAAATATTTTTTAAAATAATGTATTTTGTTTTTTAATCCTTGATTTAACTTGATTAACAAAATGGGAAGGTCACTCATTTGAACTCTAATGTAAGATACCATTTTTCATAGTGCACCATCACATAGATTTTCTTGGTTGTTGATTAGTGCAATAACACACAAACTGTACTTGAAGAGAAATGAACATTTTGACTTGTATCTTTCTTAATGATTATTTAAGCTACATCTCTGCCTCTGTAATGTGTTTTGGGAGGGCAGCATGAACATCACGGCTTACATTTCTGCATGTGCTTATGCATAAAGTGTTATCTTTTCATGAACAAGCTAGGAAATGGTATGTGTTGTTGCCAGGTTTGTCCTGAGACACCCTTCTCAGATTTGATTAATATTTTCAGGAACAATTTCTTCAAATACACTTCAAATACACTTTCAAAAGAAAACTGATTCTACCACGTATGAAAAGTCATCAGGGGAACACTATTGAAATACCATTCAGTCCTGCAAAAAAAGTAGTCTCTTTTCTTTCCTTCCTGTTGCTCCCCCTTCCCAGCAATCTCCCAGTAGCTGAGATAATGTAAAGACATGCTTTGCATCTTTACATTAAGCATGCATAAGAATGTTGAGACTGAGGCTAAGCAGAATGGTAAATATACAGTGAATTATTTGGGAACATTCCCTGTCCCCTGTCATGCTTTTTAAAAAGACAAATCAGTATAGCAGCTGATTTCTTAAAATCAAATAAGATGTTAATGGTGGACACGTATTATTAGTCACAGGTTTTAGTTTGCTGATAGCATTTTGTTCTTGCTACCAAAGCCATAACCTAGACATCCTTGATTCCTCCAGCCCCCTCAAAACAAGATGTCTTTGCCTCTTTTAAAAGAAGCGAGGGACCATTTTTCTCTGCTCTCCTGCGGCACACTGTGTTTGAAAGGGAGAAGCCAGGAGGGGGCCTGCAGTTGCTGCTGGGGCAGGAGCAGGGGGCTCTTTGCTTGTGCAGGAATTGCCTTTCCCTCTGTGGGAGTGACACTGGCAGCTCTGTCCCTGCAGAAGGACTGGAGAGCATCAGCTGCAGAGCCACTGATGCCAGTCCTGCCTTACAAGTGCTCTTCAAAGTACTGGGCTGGGCAGCACCGGACTCTGACTGCAGGTGGAACAGGACTGGGCCTCTAGTACAGTGTTAGTTGTTTGACTTGCATTCTTAAATAAGAAAGTTGATGATCTCACAGCTGTTCCCTCAGCCCCTTGTGGTGGATGTATGCATGCATTCTGCATAGCTGCAGGACACATTTCTATCTTAGTGTGCTTTTGTTGCGGCTCACTTGTGGTTGTTGCCAAAATCTTTGCATTTCAGTTTTTGCAGTAGTGTTGCATTATTACAGTTAGCTGCATTTAATTTTTGTTTATCAATAAAACTTGTTTGCTTTTATTTTTCTGGAGGTAGTATCAGAAGTGCTTGTGCAATCAAGAGAGATATTTAATTATACCAGGTTTAAAACCAGACTGTCCTGGTGCTTCAAAACAAGGCATGGCTCACCCAGGGGTAATTATTTTTATAGATACTATAGTTTGGGATTCACAATTGAAATTAATTTTTGCTGATTTAAATTTGCTAGAGGCCTAAAGCAGATGAGAATTAGGATTACCAGGTGCAAACTACATCCAAACACAGAGGATAATCTAATGGCAGATCCTCGGATGTAGGACGCTATCCTGATTTCATGTAGTCTTCAAAGTGTATCAGCTTTTATTAGCCTCACTTCTGCAAGTTTAAATTTAAAAATTGATTGCAATTCACAGTGCAGAGAGCACATTACGATATTATAAAATTGCCGTTTTAATTTGAAGTGACTTTGACAGATTAGAGGCTTTTTGATAGTGATGACAAATTAAGGTCAAGCTTTTTGTTAAGGTAAACAATGACAATGAAAAATGGCAATTTCTTTTCCTCGGATCTGTAAAGCAGCATTGTAGAGGGAGATGTGGAATGGTACAAGGACAAACTCAATGTCCAGCTCTTTTATATGCCTTTGACAATGACCCCTGGCAATAATGTTGAGTTTCTTGTTTTCTTAAAAAATATTCACAAAATTAATGTAAATTGCTACATACCATGGGAACAAATTAAGCTTTTAATTTCTCTTTTTAGTCATCTTATTTTGGTACTTTTAACTATCATTGAGGCTTCTGCTTCAGTGACATTTAGGATGTGACAAGGAGATTTGAGTGATGTCAAACAGCAGATTGACCCTAATGAAATGTTAAGCAGAGCTTAAATGCATATGCAGAGAAGGTTGAATAAAACAAGAGATGCAAATAATTTAGTAAAACCCACTTCAGAATAAAGCCAGCTCTATTCACTTGGTCTGCCGCAAAACAGGCTGATAAATATGATAATTTTTACTTTCACTCCTAAACTAGAGTTTTTAACGAGATTATCACACATGTGTTTCTTGACTATTAATAAAACTCCTTATAAAATAATTTACCTTAAGTCATCACACCCAAATATCAAACTGATATATATATATATGAGAAATAAGAATAAAAATCTAAATTTCACTTGTATCACAACAAATAACGATTTTTACAACACTGACAATTTCAACCTCTTCTTTTTCTTTATGTTTGCATCTGAACTGGAGCTCTACAAAATCTGCTTCCAAAGTACTGTGAATGAAAGGCATAGAGAAGGAAAGCAGCTTATTTGAATTTAGCATTTCCACCCCGTGCAGGAGCCTGGACACTAGCAAGTACTCACCGAGGCTGCAATACAGGCAGTTAGTGTAATTTTGCTGGAATTACGCTGTATTTACAGACTTCGACACTGGTGGGTGCTAACATTTTATTCCCCTGCATGAGGCGTGCATCCAGTCACTTCTAACAGCGCTGCCGGGGCTGAGCAGCCTCTGTTCCAGCGCCAGCCAAGTCAGGCTTTGGTTTTGTTCCTTTTGGGTTTTAAGCAAAGAGAGAAAAATAGAAGCAAAAATATTTTTCTTTACCTTGCGTGCTGTCTGTTGTGGGGCTTGTGTTCAGCTGCGTCTCAGTCGCAGAACACCTGCCGTTTTCTTCTGCTGCTAATTGTGTGACAGGCTCATATCGCAATATGGCATCCAGATCATGGAAAAACTTCATGGTTTTAGTGACATCCCCAGAGTTGTGGGCATATTTAACGGTTCTGTATTCGTACTTGAGGTTTTTGTACTTTGCACGGCACTGTTTCCAGTCCCTGCACACTCCCAACTCCTGCAACCTTTTAGCAATGTAGATAAATATTCCTTTATTCCTCAGAGTGCCGTGCAGTTGCTTTCTGATATTTTTTTCTGACCAGACGCTTAACAAGGCTTTAACCTCCTCCTCAGTCCAATGCTTCCCTGCTCCACTCTCCATGTTGAAAGTGACCTGGAAATGATTCACTATTTCTAGCCAAGATTTTGTTTCCTAGGAAACCAGACGGCTGGTTGTCAGTAAGCTCCGCCGAGATGAAAGGATCTAGTTTTACTGGCTCAAGCTGCCTGAGGGGAGTAACTTGAGACGCTGCCAAATAAGCAGGCTCGCCGCTGGAGCCGGGCGAGGGAAGCGGCTCCGCCGGCGGGGAGGGGGCTCCTCGGCCGGGCCGGGCCGGGTCGGGGCTCACTGCTGTGACTCATCTTCGGGAGTCAGTGGGGGCACTAGGGTGTGAGAAAAGAAGCAAAAAGAGCCTGTTTCGTTCCTTTGGAAAAAAACAAACCAAACAAAACAAAGCAACGTCACACACACACCCCTTGTGGCCTGGGCTCTGCCGGGAGGCCCCGGGCAGCCCTTGCTCCCGAGGGGGCCCGGCCGCGGGACCGAGCCTTCCCCACAGGGGTCGGGTTCGGGATCGTCCTGCCCCACATCTTCACTTCTCTATGCGTTGTTTGCCTCTGAATGCGGGCCGTAGAGACAGGTTTTGCATATCGCTGATGTTTTAATAGCAGCTGGCATACTTCAAGTCTGGCTCAGCTGGTAAAGTGGTGCAGGCATTGTGGTAGTGACACTGAGATCCCATGCCTTTTGTCAGTGCTAAGTGAAAGATGTAATCCAACGCCTTGGCCAGGGCCTTCCTTGGGGTCTCTGCTTCTCTCTTCCTAGTGATTTAGTTACTATTTAAAGAGACCATGACAGTATTAAAATGGAAACTCCCTGTAATATTAACATTGCAATTATAGTTGCTGAATGCAGTGCATCAACCCTTAAATCTTACTAACAGTCTTCGTATTTATAGATAGAACATCTTCTCGAGTTAAAGTAAATGGTTTTATGAACATCCACATCTCTGATTATTTTCTTTAGAGAACTGTGTCACTAAACGGGTAAATTTGTTCAGATGTGTGGGAAGTTTGGTTTGTTTTGCTTTCTGTAAGCAAGCATTCTTCAAAATTTTTGCTTTACATCCAACTGGGATTAGTAACAAATGAGGGGATTTTATGAACTGGAGAAAATTGATAATGAGCATGTCAGTTGGAGATTATCATACATTCTATTGATTTTTGTGCCCAATTCTGTTGTTGCTTGTAATAACTAATTCCATTGCCTTCAAGTGAGTTAAGTCCAGTGCACAAATAGGACATTAATTGTCTTTCCCTTTTTAAGAAAAATATCTCTCCTGTTCAGACATTATTATATATGAGAGTGGGCAGGAGCTCACCCATCCACCAAAGTCCTGATGAGTATTACAGGCACAGGCAGGCATATAGCAGCAGTTTTGTTGTAGGCAACACTGCCTTATTTCAGGAAGTCTTTTAAAGGGAGATGGAGCAGCCTGCACTCTTATTCACAAAAGAAAAAAAATGCAGTCTGCAAAGTAGACCTTTTCAATGGATAAGGACTGGATTACCAACTGTGGGCAAGTGCACAGTGTTCTGCCTGCCTTGGGCAGGGCAGCATCAGGGGATCTGGGGTACATCCAGGGGCCCAGCACGGGGAAGGGCTGGGGAAGACAGGCAGCAGGACAGGGAAAACACATGTATTTCAGCTGAATCAGCTCTTCTGCTCAACAAAGCACAACTGCCAGCCCAAGGCTGATGTACTTAAGAGAAGTATTTCCATTTGCAGTGACACTTGATCATCAGACTTGTTTTGCCTGAGTTCAGAAGCTGAGATGCCCAACATTAGGTTTATACACTCAGATGCTTTCATCGGAGGGTCTGTGTTGCTTTTAGAGGTGTAAATGCCAGCTTGTCTGCCTAAGTGCAAAAATGCAAAAGCTTCTGCACAGGTGATGAGTGGAGAAGACAATCCATTCCCCTAAGCAACACCATCAGTTTTTAATAACATCTGACAATCCAAAGCAGAAATAGAGTAGCATTATAGGACCTAGTACTATCGGCTAGACCATTATGCCTCTGAAAATGACTTTTCCAATTAAACATCTGCTTTTACTTTATGCCTGTACTGAAATTGAAGTCCATTAAGAGCTTGAGCCACTACGTATTGGTGGGAAGAGTCCCACTAAATTTAGTGGACTTAGGCACAAACCTTATGTAACTGTCTTGAAATAAAGCGTAGCAAGAAACCTGCAATTAACACAGCAATTATAAGTCTGTAAAATAAAACAACAAACAACAAATTAAAATGCCATTAAAAAAATCTATCCATTGCATGTTAAAGTGTTTCATAATCATGTCAGTGCTTTATGTGAATTGTATTTTGTCCATAGGGGCCAGGAGAGCGCTGGAATTGTCACAAGTGATGGCGAGTCATCCCAGGCATTCAAAGTGCACAAGGTAAAATGCAAATAAATGTTTTGTATTCTTAACTGAGATGCATGTAAGTTAGTTTCTGGTAAGAAACAGTGTAGTTAGAGGAAAAAGTAACATGCTTGATGGGCTGTTTTGATTTTGTCAGAGTATCTTGCTTTGTTACCTGTCTTGAGTGTATCCTTAAAACAAACTTGCCAATGTTGTCCTGATAGGTGTTTCTGTGCATACAGTGACAGACACACAGAAGTTACCCAGAGCATCCAATGATGTCTCAAAAACTTTTTACCAAAGTCACCCTGCACTCTGTTAACTCTGCAGATTTGGAAGAGCATCGATGCTCTTCTTGATCTTAAAAAGAAAAAAAATACTGTTAGAGACTATGCACAAGGAGATGGATGAGTAATGCTTACACTAGGAGACTGAAGGAAGTGGCAACTACTTTACCCATAGGTAGCAATAAACAGAATCTAAGGCAGAATGGAGGCCTGAGAAGGTCACACGGACTTTCTCGAGCTGAGAGAATCACGGGGGATAAGACACATAATGAGCACAGACTTAAAAGTATCTATTTTTAGTCAGGGAATAGATTGTTCCATGAAAATCCTCAGCACAAAAATGTAGCTTGCTTTATTTAAAAACAGGACTAAATGGAAGTGATATAGCACTGTGACCTACTCAGCTTCTTTCTTTCCTATATCTTTCAGGTTATTTGCCTTTTTCTTAAAATTCCATTAATACTACTATATCAGCTTTAAGCAGAAGAAGAACTTAAAAAGTCACCAGGAAAATAAAACCAACTGAACATTTTTTTCTTTTTTTCTCCCAAAGGGAATGGGCCTTATAAACCACGTCTTCAGTGCAGACAGCCTGAAGAAGCTGTACCCTTCTAACCTTGGTATTGGGCACACGAGGTACTCCACCTCAGGAATTTCTGAGCTTCAGAACTGCCAGCCTTTTGTTGTAGAGACTCTTCATGGGAAGATTGCTGTGGCACACAATGGGGAGCTAACAAATGCTGCACAGCTCAGAAGGAAGGTTAGTACCTCCTTTGGGGACTCAGGCATTGTTTCTTTCTGAGTGTGAGGCAGAAATGAGCAATATGGTTGCTGTGACTTTTCCTTAATACCAAACTTTTTTTTTGGTTTTTTTGGGGTTATAAAAGAGCTCACTAATCAAAATAAATCATTTTGGGGGAAAAAAAGCCTGTGAAGGGGATTCTGCCTTGATATCTCTTTCTGGATCTGTTATAGGCAATTTCATATTTTCTCCTCTCTATTTGAACTCTCTTCCCAGAGCATGCATAAAGCGAATTTAATCACCCAAACATGAATTTATGCCCTGAATATTGGTGGCATTATTTTGGTTGCATGTGGAGCAAAGGAATGAGATGAAGAAGGAAAAATGTAGTGCTAGCACAGAAGATTGTCTGACCTCATGTAATATAGTTGGTTTATTGGAAGAAATTTGGCATTATTATGCAGTGATCACCTGAAGCACTGTGAAACGTTTGTTCTTTGCACCAAGGTGTTGTTAGGTTCAAACCTGAGCGCTGTGATGTGAGATTGTTTTTTAATGCTGGTAACACTTTTGGCTTGTGTCTTAAAAGCTTATGCGGCACGGTGTGGGACTGTCGACCAGTTCTGACAGCGAGCTGATCACCCAGCTGCTGGCTTTCACACCTCCCCTGGAGAACGACGACACGGCCGACTGGGTGGCAAGGTGAGGGTGAGGAGCCTGGGCTTCACACTCAGCCCCAGCCATTGCACCTCAGCGTGATGTGCAGCTGCTTGTGTGGCACACAGTCATGTTCACCTATGTCTCATTCCAGAATAAAAAACTTAATGAAGGAAACTCCAACTTCGTATTCATTGCTAATTATGCACAAAGACATAATCTATGCAGTACGTGATCCGTATGGGAATCGCCCGCTCTGCATTGGTCGCCTTATTCCAGTAGGGGACATGAATGGGAAAGGTAAACACACTCTGTCCCTCTCTCTCTCTCTCTCTCTCTCTCTCTCTCTCTCTCTATATATATATATATATGCATAGTGTATGCTTGAAATCACTGTTATAGGTAATTAAAACTACACTTACTGAGGTGTAAGTGGAAATATGCAAAAATGAGTTTTGAAAAATAAAAAAAAGTTGGCAAGGAAAAAAATCATCTATAGGAAGTGTGCAAATTTTCCAGTCCCAGATACAGGGAATAATGATAGCCTAATGATAGCCACAGTTAAGCATCCCAACTGTAATACAATTTAAATAATTCTCATTGCTTAAACAAGAAAGCAGTGATGAACAGAATTACAGACGGGTTGAGGTTGGAAGGGAGCTCTAAAGGTTGTTAGTCCGAATCCCTTCTCAAGCCAGGCCACTTAAAACCAGTTGCTCAGGATAATGTCTAAAAACAGGTCTGGTTTCTTCCTTTTTTCTCCTATAGTAAGGTGGGCAAAAAGTGCTGGATTACTTGCAATGTACCTCTGAATTCCAAGCAGCCCTGTCACACGTAGTGACTGGACCATTACACAAGCAGTTTATGGGAAAAATTCCTTGTGTTCCCATTCAGCCTGCAAATCAACAATTTTCTCCACTTGTCACTTATATCAACAAAATATCTTCACTTGTTGCAAACTAAAATAATTCAAAGGCAAAGCAGTGAATTCTTC